TTAAAGTATGTGACTTGCGATCATCTTAGTGCTAAGACTGCATTATGGAATCAGGCCTGTGTATCAGGCTAATCCTTCCCCAGGCCAGTTCTTCCCTGGGCACGAAACAGCCTAGGCCAGTTCTTCCCCGGGGACAAAATAGCCGAGGCCAGTTCTTCCCACAGGATGAAATGCCTAGGCCAGTTCTTCCCCAGGCACGTAATGCCCAGGCCAGTTCTTCCCACAGGACGAAATGCCCAGGCCAGTTTTTCCTCTGGGACAAAATAGCCGAGACCAGTTCTTCCCACAGGATGAAATGCCTAGACCAGTTCTTCCCACAGGATGAAATGCCTAGACCAGTTCTTCCCACAGGATGAAATGCCTAGACCAGTTCTTCCCACATGATGAAATGCCTAGACCAGTCCTTCCCACAGGATGAAATGCCTAGACTAGTTCTTCCCACAGGATGAAATGCCTAGACCAGTTCTTCCCACAGGATGAAATGCCAAGGCCAGTTCTTCCCACAGGATGAAATGCCAAGGCCAGTTCTTCCCACAGGATGAAATGCCTAGACCAGTTCTTCCCACAGGATGAAATGCCAAGGCTAGTTCTTCCCACAGGATGAAATGCCTAGGCCAGTTCTTCCCACAGGATGAAATGCCCAGGCAACTTCTTCCTCTTGGACGAAATAGCCTAGGCCAGTTCTTCCTCTGGGACGAAATATCCCAGGCCAGTTCTTCCCCAGGCACGTAATGCCCAGGCCAGTTCTTCCTCAAGGACGAAACAGCCTAGGCCAGTTCTTCCTCTGGGACGAAACAGCCTAGGCCAGTTCTTCCTCTGGGACGAAATAGCCTAGGCCAGTTCTTCCTCTGGGATGAAATAGCCTAGGCCAGATCTTCCCCCCCCCCCAAATTTTAAACTTACCTAAGGTGGGGGAGGTTCAGACCAGGCAAGATTCTACCCCCTCTTGATTTCAGATAACCTAAGTGGATACTTGCATATCCAAGTGTTAAATCATATTTTGAAGGAAACACTTTTCATGTCAAGAGCTGCAGATTTCATATACCGTATATGACCGCGGATAAGCCGACCCCGTAGATAAGCTGAGGTGTTAATTTGACCATTGAAATACGACCCGCAGATAAGCCGAACCAGGAATTGAAAGGCAAAAAACACTGCGAAGTCGGACTGCAAGACATGTGCCGGTACTCGCAGATATTCAAAAATATAAGATGAAAAACGTTGTAATTATATTGAAAAAGTCATTATTATTTCTAATAAAGATTTAACAAACCAGTCATCCACTTTCATAATGTGGGAAGCTGTTTCTCTTGGGTTTTTTTTAATCTCATAATGATCGTTATATGTTGCCATCAACAACGAAGCGCCAATTTGTGAATCAGTGTATGAACCCGTGAGAAAATAACTCAGCTAGAGCGAAGACTCGCAGTTTGAATTCAGCATCGTAAGCATGGAGTTTCGTTTCAAACTCATAATGAGAATGTCATTCAGTAAAAATATACCAACTTTTATAAACCCCCTTTACACCACTATTGTATGTTAATCCAAATGAATTAAATAAACTATCATACTATGAACACATTAAATGACCATCACCTACTCACAGGCTTCTCCAGTTTATTAAACTTATCTCTCAAAAACAAAGTAATTAGCCCCTACTCCCAACACGATCGCTAAGCACCCACACCATGAAAATGTTTGTGTAAACAACATCACAATACCAATCGGCCCGTTATTATCAGTGCTCATTTCCTTGTGTACCGCGTTGCTTTAAACAACAGGAAGCAATCACAGTGGTCACTGTTTGTGACGTCACAGGAAACAGCTGATCACATGTTTTTGCAAATGGCGAACGGAATAACTCGCCGATACAGTTGTATATTTGCCTCTTTCAATAAAGGAAGACACTTGTTCACTATCAATTTATGAACTTTGCAAAACGTACGTAATATTTATTGGCGATTGCATCTGGGGATTATATATTATAGATGTGAATTACATATATTGTTACCTGTAAAGATTGTGGAGTTTATGAAGAACGATAAACTTTGAACATTCATTCAATTGAAAACTTATTATCGGAAGTAGTAACATGCATAACATTTTTTTAATAATGACAACATTGGTGTATAATAATCACTTTATTGAAAATTTATAACAATAATGGCTCTAGTCGTGGCAACTTCCAAACTTTCGGGAAGTTGTAATCTATTGGACCGTCATTCAGGCGATGTTTCTGACAGATCACGATCTGAAAAATACTCTCATGAAAGTGTATCCCGTGGATAAGCCGACCCCTTTCTACAGAATCTTTTTTCTGGTCCTCAAAATTCGGCTTATACGCGGTCATATACGGTATCTATTTGACAAATAGTGACCTGCAATTCAGTCACTTGGAGGACTGACTGACTATGGTTTTACGCCGCTTTTAGCAATATCCCAGCAATATCACGGCGGGGGGACACCAGAAATGGGCTTCACACATTGTACCCATGTCGGGAATCGAACCCGGGTCTTCGGCGTGACGAGCGAACGCTTTAACCACTAGGCTATCCAACCGCCCCGTCACTTGGATGAGACTCCGCATCAAAACTGGTGTTTTTGACTATCTGTTCATCTGTTGCCAAACAGACATAAAGGCATTTCTTCACAAATTGTTTCAAACATCCTTATCTTGAAGTGTATTGAGGCATTGTTTTGGAACTCTGACATTTCCATTGAATTAAATGGACAAACAGGGTTTATTTTCAGATAGGATCTGACAACTATTGAATATTTCATTCCACAAATACGACGTAGCAATAAAACGTGTCTTGCCAATTCAGACTTTTCAAAGTGCGTGACACAATATAGCTCGTAGAGGTTGGTGTATTGATTGGTGCTCACTTTTCTCCTTGACATTTTTAAGTGGGATCAAAGATAAGTTTCGATGGGAGTGGGTAGACTGTGACACATTGTTTCTCGGTGCCTCAGTTTTCAAGGAGAAACTAATTTACATAAAATATTATCCATGTGCAGTGAGCAACATTTGACGTAATGTAATACACAGCAAGGATACATCTCACCTTGTTCATGTCAACTTGACCTTTGGTTATAAAACATTGCACATGTTGTCGTATGTCCCGTTCATGGTGATCATTCATAATGCCCAACTTCAGGAATATTAATGAATATTTATAAATTTTTCATGAATAAAACGTAACAAAGACTTCAAGGAACTTGTGGAAGAATAATGGCAATATCTATAATTCAATAGCCAATTGGTACAGAAACGGATCAATTTTCAGAACATGTCCTGCTGACCAATGTGCGAACTGTGTAAACTCACATGGCAGATTTACGCAAAGTGAGCTCACCACTATTAAGTTTATATCTCCTCAAATGCAAAAACGTATTGAAGTCAATTCTTGAAAATAGATATGTCAACAATAATAACTTCACAGGCTTTTATTTCATCATTAACACAAAAAACTGAAGGCAACAGTACCAAATCAATGGCAGCGTTCAGGGCAAAACTGCAACAAGCTCCGCCCATTCTGTTATAAGCCAATCAGGAAATGTAGGCTGCTAGTGGGTGTGGCCTAATTATTTTCTCAGTTTATGGAAACATAAACACACAAAAATTGGCTTGGTTACCCGATTGAATGTCACGGAATAACCTGAATGTTTATTTTACTGTCTACAAACTGAAAAAAGACCCGTGAAGATCCGGGGTAGAATAGGTCTTCAGCAACCCATGCTTGCCGTAAAAGGTGACTATGCTTGTCGTAAAAGGCGACTAACGGGATCGGCTGGTCAGGCTCGCTGACTGGGTTGATGCATGTCATCGATCCCAATTGCGTGGATCGATGCTCATGATATCAATCACTGGATTGTCTGGTCCAGACTCGATTATTAACAGACTGCTGTCATATAGCTGGAATATTGCTGAGTGCGGCGTTAAACAACAAACCAACCAACCAACCAACTACAAACTGAAAAAGTTGGAAGAATGATTTTCCATGGCAGTCCATAATTTCTTGTGTATTTCAGCAACTCAGAAGGGGTATATTATAGCCTAGTAACTAGTATCGGACAGGTTTTAGTATCATTGACACTTAAACCTCGTATATTCTCTACTGCTCGATCTCTGACAACAAATTTGACTTGTAAATGGTTTTAAAAAGCGCCCACTTTTGTCATTTTTGCGATGGGTGCAGTATTGGTTTCATATTTGTTAATACTTGTGTCTACATTATTTATGCAGGGAATATTTTAATGTCAATGCTGACAACTTTGAAGTGGTTGTGTTTGTTGACATTTAGACTGGTGACTATATATTCAGGAGACCGCCTACGTGGTCCAGTGGTAGAGCATGTGAGAGAGCAGAAGGTCGGGGGTTCGATCCCTGGCTGCGTCATACCAAAACATGTTAATAGATGGTACTTGTTGTTACCCAGCCTGGCGCTTTGCATTAAGGGGCTAAAACAAGGACTGGTTGGCTCAGAGTCAGTATACTGTGTGGGGTATTCATGTTAAAATGCGGCATGGTATCTCAGTGTCCTAGCACTAGAAATCGGCATCAGTCCGGACTAGTAAAAAAAAAAAAACACACACACACACACACACACACACACACACACACACACACACACACACACACACACACACACACACACACACACACAATCTCACAATCTCACACACACTCACAATCTCACACTCACAATCTCACACACACTCACGGGGCGGTCGGGTAGCCTAGTGGTTAAAGCGTTCGCTCGTCACGCCAAAGACCCGGGTTCGATTCCCAACATGGGTACAATGTCTGAAGCTTGCTGGAATATTGCTTAAAGCGGCGTAAAAACCATACTCACTCACTCACTCACACACACTCACAATCTCACACACACTCACACACTCCCACACACTCACACTCCACTTCACTCCCCATATGCAGGTGCTAAAGTGTATTTTCTACATTTATTTTCCCTCCCACTAATGTCCACTTCCTGTTCCAGCTGCCGCCAAATGCTCCAGCCTCCGTCACACTGCAGCCCGCACCAGGGGATACTGGGAAGGTTTGTACTCAACGTTTACTTCCTGTCACTCGGACACCCCTGATCAGCACAGACCAAATTGGTTTTCTTGTTTGCCGAGTTTACAGAATTTCTTATCAGTATGACAAAGGGGGAAATGTTTTTCAGTGTTTATGGATTTATGTGAGGTTAATTTCCTTAGATGGATGTCAGTTAAATTATTCAGGTTTTAAATCAATTTTTAAAATCAGCAATGTCAGCTGTTCTATAAGATAAGAAACGTTATTGGTCTGGTCATGTCGTAAATATCGGCAATTCTAAGTGTGCTGACAGTATAAACTTCCCTGATGACACTTCTTGAGAAATTTTCAAAATCTGGAGAAACAAACATCAATATATTAAAGAAAGTTTAAATATTTCTGTTCTTTGGTCACAGCACAGTGTATGTCATGATGTTTTGCTTGAAAATGAGGTGCTGGCGGACAATAGGATTACTTTCGTTGAAATATTAACTCATTTTTTTTTCTCAGGAATAAGATTAAAAAGTTGAAATTACCCTTGTTTGTGGTTTCAGCTTCTGAGAATGTAGACCATGACTTGCCTCAATCTTTGGTTCTGACGTCTTGGAACCTCGTCTGTTTTTCTTTTTTTTGAACATTTCCTTTTTTGTCTAGGAAGGTTAACCTTAATTTGGTCTTTTTGGTTTGTAAAATTGCCACGTCAAAACTGCAACAAAATTTAGAAATATGATGAAAAACACTTTTTCAAATTATTGTGACCTATTGCTGGTTATTTCTTGTTAATCAATTATGAATATTTCACACTGACATATTAGCCAAAAAACCTGACATAATGACATTTAAATTTGTAAAATAGTATGTAGTTTAGGTTTTTATATTAGATCCAGTACAAAAAGCCAAATGAGTAATTTTGGGGGGGATTTGTCTTCATCAATTTTTCTCCTTTCAGAAAGGCATCATCGTTTGAGTGGTGAAATCATTTCCTACAATGTGTTTCTTTTGTCTCATTTATCTCTGCAGTTTGTGACTTCCTGGCTCCATCATTCAAGGACGTGTTAACCATTTTTACCAGTCATTTTTCTTTAATACAATCAGTAGCCAATCATATTTCTCCAAGACAGTCACTGCAGAATTAACAGTCAAATCATTCACTAACCAATCATGTTTTTCCAAGAGAGTCACTGACCAATGAGATTTCTCCAAGACAATGACTGCGGAATTAACCCTCACTTCATTCACTAACAAATCAGATTTCTCCAAGACAGACACTGCGGAATTAACAGTCACATCATTCATTAACCAATCAGATTTCTCCAAGACAGTCACTGCGGATTTAACAGTCACATCATTCACTAACCAATCAGATTTCTCCCTCACAGGAGGAGCCTGAACAGAAAGGTGTTAAGAAACCAGAGGTATATAAATGTAGTGACCCCGAATAATCTGAAAATATTCCCCTTGTAATCATTGCTTGTATTTCCCATCTGCTATGACGTATTTCATTTGACCAACAATTATCAAGTTTATATCCAAACCTATCCCATGTACACTATTCCCTTCACCGTTTGCAAGATGGTAAAATGATTGTTTTCATTAATTTCCTCTTAACTAATAAAATAAACGTTATTTGCAGTGATATTGAATACACAGAGAATCATTGTATTACCTTACACGTGTATATAAATGTGCATTAGATGCGAATGCTTAAACATTAATATTTGTTGTTAATTATGTTTTTTATCTCACCATTTCCAATACTGCACATGGTTTATGCAGCGTTTGTATCTGTTCCATTACTGGCGTTGTGGCCAGATTGAAGAAGTGGTGTATCTACACACTTTCAAGGTCTCTGTGACCAGGGACTAAGTGTCCTGGACATCTGTGGCATAGTAATTCACAGTGCAAGATGCATCTGCTGTGCCAGGATCTGCTGATTGAGTTTGAATCCCAATTTGGCTCTGTTTATGACCCTGGGTCTGTCAGTACCCATGTTTCTCCCAAGGGATGAACATTTGCCACATCACTTCCATCGGACCCGTGAAGATCCAGGGTAGAATTGACCTTCAGCAACCCATGCTTGCCGTCAAAGGCGACTACGTTTGTCATAAGAAGCGACTAACAGGAACGGCTGACTCGGTTGATGCCTGTCATCCTATCCCAAATGCGTGGATCGATGTTCATGGAGTCAATCACTGGATTGTCTGGTCCAGACTTGATTATTTACAGACCGCCGTCAAATAGCTGGAATATTGCTGAGTGCGGCGTTAAACAAAAAACAAACAAAAAACATCACTTCGATGTTTGCTCCAAAATATAATAGAGGAGTTAAACACTCTCACTCACTCCGTCAGTGTTGTATCCCTACACCAACACTTATATATAACTCAACTTTTGATAGGGGTAATCAGATGTGTCATTCTATTTAAGTTGTGTACAGGGGGGTCGGGTAGCCTAATGGTTAAAGTGTTTGCTTCTCAAGCCGAAGACACGGGTTCGATTCCCGACATGGGTACAATGTGTGAAGCCCATTCTGGTGTCCCCCCCGCCGTGATATTGCTGGAATATTGCTAAAAGCTCACTCACTGTTTTAGTATACACTGGACATTATGTCTTATGGAAAGATAAAAATATCCCTATCAAAAGTTGAGTAGTACATAAATGTTTTCACAAACTGCCCCAGAGCATCACAAGTCACCAATAGCTGGTTCCATATACCCCGTATTACCACAATATAGCTTATTGAAGGTCAATGTCTTGCTCCAATATTGACTCAAATTTTACATGGTAAATCAGCTGGATTTATCAACCGAAACTGGCTCCCACAGGAGATATTGCTCGGGTGATATTGTAGATATCGCTGCAATGAAATTGCATCACAATGCTTTGCAGACCATTGTGATGCAATTCTGCTGGTCTTTCTTGGTCTCTCCATGGGGATTCTCGGTTAGAATTGTAACCAGCAACCTATACTGGTCATAGGGGGATTTAATGGATCAAGTTTTGTTTCATCATACCCTGCCATCACTCATAATTTCACTGGACCTGTAAAGATTCCAGGGTAGAATAGGTCTTCAGCAACCCATTCTTGCCATAAAAGGCGACTATGCTAGTCGTATGAGGCGACTAAAGGGATCAGGTGGTCAGGCTCGCTGACTTAGCTGATGCATGTCATCGATCCAAACTGTGTGGATCGATGCTCATGACGTCAATCACTGGATTGTCTGGTCCAGATTCGATTATTTACAGACCACCGTCATATGGCTGGAATATTACTAAGTGGCATTTAACAACAAACAAAACAAACAAACAAACATAATTTCACTGGATTGTCTGGGCCAGATGTTTTTTAAAAGCTGTCATATAGCTTGAATATTGCTGAGTGCAGCGTTACACAACAAACAAAAATATTAAGAATCTTCTACAGCAATACGAGGCAGTAGGCAGATATGTGAAGCCGGATGATGTGTGTCTTGGTACAGGACCATGCATAGACGTGTCTTATGCCACATATCACATAGTGTATAAAGATCTCATATCACATACCCTATGGATCCTGTTAAATCATATGCTGCATGGATTAAGGATATTATGTATCACCTTTCAAAGTCATTGCTTTGTTAGAGGCTCACCCAGTTGTAGGGTGTTTCAGATCAAGCCAGATGTGTAGACAGCCTGGTCGTGTATATGTGGGTTTGTTTATAGCCATGTCTGAACCATGAGATAATGTACTATCTTCCTGATAGTCGGTGATATATGATGGCTTATCAAAGACTCCTGAACAGCATCAATAAACTGATGAGACTTCTTGGTATCACCGAGTTACATCTGGGACATTACCGTAAAACAACCAACCATTCACTCTCGGTGATAGGGTTGTTTGTTGTAAACAGCCACTCTGTCTCTGTTGGGGGCATGGGAGCCCAGTCGTCAAGGGCGCTGCGATTCGCTGTGCAGAGTTGCGTCCCTTGGGCACGCCAGAAACCTATGATTGAGGGTTTGAATCACGGTTCGCCCCGATTATGTTTCTAGGTTTGTCAGCACCATACCCCTGCTCGTGGGTTTCACCGAGGTGGTAAACGTCTGAGACCTGCATCAATTCGGGCTTTCCTCCCACATTAAGCTGACACGCCGCGATTTAACTGTAATACTGTTAAAAGCGGCGTTAAACCCAACTCACTCACTCACTCACTCTGTCTCTGTGGGGGTTCTGGGTCAGAATAGTCGTCTGTAACTGCATTAAGTGGTTATTGGTTGATGGTTATGATGTGTGACGCTCACTTTGTGTTACTGCTTCTTACAAGACAGGGGCTATGGGGTAGCCTAGTGGTTAAAACATTTGCTCATCGTGCCGAAGATTGAGGTTCAATTCCCCACATGGGTACAATGTGTGAAGCCCATTTCTGGTGTCCCCCGCTGTGGTTTTGCTGGAATATTGCTAAAAGCTGCGTAAAACCATACTCACTCACTCACTCAGGGTGACCTGACTGCAGTGAGTGAGTGAGTGAGTGAGTTGGGTTTTACGCCGCTTTTAACAGTATTCCAGTTATATCACGGCGTGTCAGCTTAATGTGGGAGGAAAGCCCGGAGTGATGCAGGTCTCAGATGTTTACCACTTCGGTGAAACCCACGAGCACGGGTATGGTGCTGACAAACCTAGAAACATAATCGGGGCGAACCGGGATTCGAACCCACAATCATAGGTTTCTGGCGTGCCCAAGGGACGCAACTCTGCACAGCGAATCGCGGCGCCTTAGACGACTGGGCCACCCATGCCCCCCTGACTGCAGTGTGTCATTGTAGCCAGGCTCTGGGTTGTTCACGCTATCACTCACTGGTTTCCCTGGCTCAGGCTCCATGCTCAGACTCGATGCTCATGATGTCACTCACTGGTTTCCCTGGCTCAGGCTCGATGCTCATGATGTCACTCACTGGTTTCCCTGGCTCAGGCTCGATGCTTATGATGTCACTCACTGGTTTCCCTGGCTCTGGCTCGATGCTCATGATGTCACTCACTGGTTTCCCTGGCCCGGCTCGATGCTCATGATGTCACTCACTGGTTTCCCTGGCTCAGACTCAATGCTCATGATGTCACTCACTGGTTTCCCTGGCTCAGGCTCGATGCTCATGATATCAATCACTGGTTTCCCTGGCTCTGGCTCGATGCTCATGATGTCACTCCTGGTTTCCCTGGCTCTGGCTCGATGCTCATGATGTCACTCACTGGTTTCCCTGGCTCTGGCTCGATGCTTATGATGTCACTCCTGGTTTCCCTGGCTCAGGCTCGATGCTCATGATGTCACTCACTGGTTTCCCTGGCTCTGGCTCGATGCTCATGATGTCACTCACTGGTTTCCCTGGCTCTGGCTCGATGCTCATGATGTCACTCCTGGTTTCCCTGGCTCTGGCTCGATGCTCATGATGTCACTCACTGGTTTCCCTGGCTCTGGCTCGATGCTTATGATGTCACTCCTGGTTTCCCTGGCTCAGGCTCGATGCTCATGATGTCACTCACTGGTTTCCCTGGCTCTGGCTCGATGCTCATGATGTCACTCACTGGTTTCCCTGGCTCTGGCTCGATGCTCATGATGTCACTCCTGGTTTCCCTAGTTCTGACTCGATGCTCGTGATGTCACTCACTGGTTTCCCTGGCTCAGGCTCGATGCTCATGATATCAATCACTGGTTTCCCTGGCTCTGGCTTGATGCTCATGATGTCACTCCTGGTTTCCCTGGCTCAGGCTCGATGCTCATGATGTCACTCACTGGTTTCCCTGGCTCTGGCTCGATGCTCATGATGTCACTCACTGGTTTCCCTGGCTCTGGCTCGATGCTCATGATGTCACTCCTGGTTTCCCTAGTTCTGACTCGATGCTCGTGATGTCACTCACTGGTTTCCCTGGCTCAGGCTCGATGCTCATGATATCAATCACTGGTTTCCCTGGCTCTGGCTTGATGCTCATGATGTCACTCCTGGTTTCCCTGGCTCAGGCTCGATGCTCATGATGTCACTCACTGGTTTCCCTGGCTCTGGCTCGATGCTCATGATGTCACTCACTGGTTTCCCTGGCTCTGGCTCGATGCTCATTATGTCACTCCTGGTTTCCCTGGCTCTGACTCGATGCTCATGATGTCACTCACTGGTTTCCCTGGCTCAGGCTCGATGCTCATGATATCAATCACTGGTTTCCCTGGCTCTGGCTTGATGCTCATGATGTCACTCCTGGTTTCCCTGGCTCAGGCTCGATGCTCATGATGTCACTCACTGGTTTCCCTGGCTCTGGCTCGATGCTCATGATATCAATCACTGGTTTCCCTGGCTCAGGCTCTGGGTTGTTCACGCTATCACTCACTGGTTTCCCTTGCTCAAGCTCAATGCTCATGATGTCACTCACTGGTTTCCCTGGCTCAGACTTCAACTGCTTACAGTTGGAACCCGTGAAGATAGGTCAGATCTTCAGCAACCCATGCTTGTAAGAGGCAACTAACGGAATCGAGTGATTACTTGCTGACACGGTTGATGCATATCATCGTGTCCCAATTGCGTGGCTCAATGCTCATGATGTCAATCACTGGATTTTCTGGCCCAGACTCAACTATTTACAGACCACCCTCATATATGTGGAGTGGCAGTGGGGTGGCTAAAGCATTCGCTCGTCACGCCTAGCTGGTGATATCGCTGGAATATTGCTAAAAGCGGCATCAAACAATACTCACTCACTCACTCATATATTTGGAATATTGCTGAGTGCGGAGTTAACAAACAGACTTACATGTGGTTGTGTAATGTTGTATGGCATATTCAATCAATAAAACCTGTTCAAAACCAATCATTAAGTATTTTCAAAGGAATAATGGCTACTTTGTTCTTTATTTAACTACCACAAACTGTAGTGTAATATTGTGTGGTATAAAACAACATTTAATCAATAACACATGTGCATAACCAATCAATCTTTTTTTTACAACAAACTGTTGACATGCTAGAAGATCCAGAGTGACATGCCTGCTTTTAGCAACGCTAGACAGTCACAAAATCATTCTAAATTATTGTGTTAATACCAGTTGTATCAAAAATGTAAAACCACTGATCATGGGTTTAATCCCAGATTTTAATCCGCAACTATGTTTCTAGGTTTGGCAGCACCATGTTCGTACTCATAGGTTTCACCATCATGGCCCAACCCGCGAAGTTCCGGGGTAGAATAGGTCTTCAGCAACCCATGCTTGTCGTAAGAGGCGACTAACAGGATCGGGTGGTCAGGCTCGCTGACTTGGATGAGCATGTCATCGATCCCAATTGTGATGATCGATGCCCATGCTCTGGTCCAGACTTGTTTATTTACAGACCACTGTCATATAGTTGGAATATTGCTGAGAGTGGCGTCAACAAACAAACTAACGTGGTCCAACGCCTGACACATGCTTCACTTTGAGTTTGCTCCCTCATCAAGCTGACCTGCCATGATATAACAGAAACACTGTTCAAAGATGCATTAAAACAAACTCACTCACTCACCCACTCACTCACTCACTCACTCACTCACTCACTCACTCACTCACTCACTCGCTCTGATCACCATGCTAAGCTGACAATGATTGATTGGTACAGAGAGGTGAGGACAAACCTAAATGTTGTATCTGTAGTCTCTCAGAGATGGTAAGTTCAGAAGAACGCTTTGTCAACTATGGGACATGTACAATTCAAGCCATTCACTGAAATACTCCAATATCAGGTAAATTGTATATTGACAGGAAATGTACAGTTGATATCAGTGTTATTACCAATACATGTTTCTATGAGATGTTCATGTGATATCAGTAGTATTGTCATTGACTCTTGATGTAAGATATACAGATGACTCGAATGATGATTCTTAGAAGATATCCGTCATATTACCTGTGTATGTTATGTTTGTTTGTTTGTTGTTTAACGCCGCACTCAGCAATATTCCAGCTATATGACGGCGGTCTGTAAATAATCGAGTCTTGACCACACAATCCAGTGATTGACAACATGAGCATCGATCCACGCTAATGGGATACGGTGACATGCATCAACCAAGTCAGCGAGTCTGACCACCCAATCCCGTTAGTCGCCTCTTACGACTAGCATGGGTTGCTGAAGACCTATTCTACCTTTGTGTTATGAGATATCCAGGTGATACCAGCTGCGCTAGTTGTAAAAATACTCAGATGTATATCAGTGCATGGTGATCGTTATTTTGAAATACCTTGGCAATGACAGTCATAATTCCAGTGATGATCTGTGATATCATCTCTGATACTCGGATGATATCAGTTAAATCACCTTTGAGGACATTATCAGTCTTATTCCTCTGTTTCAGCCATGTGGTGTGGACTACGAGATGAAGACATTTGTAGCAGACTCAATCGAGGAGAAGCCCCACAAGAGGTGAATGTACACTGTATGCCCTGCAGTGGTGAATAGTCATTTTGGAGACATAAATGCGAACAAAGACCACTTGCATATTTCGCATTTTATTCACACTCTCATTAATTTAAAGATGTATATACTGTATGTCCTGCAGTGGTGAATATCTCAACACTAGATTATCAAAAGATAGGGTCACAATTTGCCATGCTGAGTTGTTTCCCTTAGCCTTGTCAGGATCTGCTGAGTTCAAATCCAAGATTCACACGCACACGCACACGCACACACACACACACACACACACACACACACACACACACACACACACACACACAATACGAGGCTGCTGTGATATGAATGAAATATTTAATTGTTAGTGTTGAATACTCTGGGCCCATCTGTTATAAAACATGAGGTTAAACTGTAGATATGTATCAATAACTTGAAAAGAGAAATACCCTGTGTGGTCATTAGGATGTCTTGTGTGGTTTCTTCAGATTTTTATAATATTTGGGGGGTGGGGGTAGGGGTGATGGGTGGGACGTTTAGTGTTTAAGGCCACACTCAGCAATATTCAAGCTATATGACAGCGGTCTGTAAATATTCGAGTCTGGACCAGATAGTCCAGCGATTGACATCATACACATCGGAACTACACAACTGGGATACGATGACATGCATCACCTGATTGGGTTTTAAGCTGATTGTTAAAGTTTAAAAATTGTGCAAGACCTGTTCACTTTGACTTAATAACCCTACACATATTTTCAAAGTGAACCAAAAATTGCTTCCATGATGCAGGTGAAAGACATTAACAGATGTTCCAGGACTAGTTTCATCAGTATTTTGAATTTGTTTCCTTGTATGCAATATGCATCTAAAATGTCAGGTTCAGGGTGCCGTTGTACAAAACAACCTTAGTGCTACGACTGTCGTAAGTCTATGTTAAGCAGAGCTCCAGATAAACTGCGTATCTGCGTGAAATACGCATCAGAAATGCAGAAATACGCAGTAAAATAAAATCCAAGCGTATCAAATACGCAATAAACATTACAGATACGCTACAAAAATAAAATTTGTGAGTATCATCAAAATATTGTGAAGTAACCCTGCGTATTCGATTACAAATCAGCAACTTATTTTGAAATTATAAACGGGCATTCCGTTAACCTTGCCAAACTCCACGATGACAGTTACATCATGATCATTTGCCATCACACTTTCTTGTGGAAGTATCGTGGTATTTTTGAGTCCTATAAAGCTCTCGAACCCACACGACACTAGTTTGCAGTGACTAGATGAATAGTGTTTTTAAATATTTAACCTAAATACCCACATGTGTAAAAACTAGAGGGTAACAGAAATTTGAATACCCAGATAGAATTACTGATACCCAATGATTATAAAATGCATTGGTAAAATACCCACAACACCAAAAGCTTATCTGGAGCTCTGTTAAGGTATGGGAGTTACGTTCACCTTAGCGCTAAGATCACTTTGTACAACGGCACCCAGAACTATAAGCCAATAATTACCAACGAAAGTAGAAGAGTCAGTACCAAGAACTATCCTGTCAAACTTCAATTACGCTGTGGCTAAATTACACTCTTGATGGTGCTGTCATCTAGGTGTATGGAGTTCTTGGGGCTAAGGTCAGGCTGACCGGTTTATCCAATCAGGTTATTGATCAGGCTGTGGCCTCGGTATTTCCGACTGACACCCGCTAGGCTTGTTCCCTGGCACAGGCAGGCTGGTACATAACGCGGGTCAAGTGATGCTTTGGGAGCAGTATCTACAAACAATGTTGAAAAAATATTCTGGTTGAACCTGTGAAAATGTCACTGGGTATTGCTGAGGGATGTGTTGAAAGTTTCAAGATTATATGTTTTGAGATTTTTAAAAATGATTTTAGAATGTAGTCATATTTTTGTTTGGGGTTCATCTCATTGTAGTGAGTGAGTGGATGTTGTTTTATGGTTATCGGAGCAATGCTCCAGGTATGTCACAGGAACCTGTTAATAATCAATTCTCTGTAGGGAGACAAGCATGGGAAGTTGGTACCCATTCTGATCTGGAGACTGTGTAGGGAGACAAGCATGGGGTGTTGGTACCTATTCTGATCTGGAGACTGTGTAGGGAGACAAGCATGGGGTGTTGGGACCTATTCTGACCTGGAGACTGTGTAGGGAGACAAGCATGGGGTGTTGGGACCTATTCTGACCTGGAGACTGTGTAGGGAGACAAGCATGGGGTGTTGGGACCTATTCTGACCTGGAGACTGTGTAGGGAGACAAGCATGGGGTGTTGGGACCTATTCTGACCTGGAGACTGTGTAGGGAGACAAGCATGGGGTGTTGGGACCTATTCTGACCTGGAGACTGTGTAGGGAGACAATCATGGGATGTTGGTACCCATTCTGACCTGGAGACTGTGTAGGGAGACAATCATGGGATGTTGGTACCCATTCTGATCTGGAGACTGTGTAGGGAGACAAGCATGGGGTGTTGGGACCTATTCTGACCTGGAGACTGTGTAGGGAGACAAGCATGGGGTGTTGGGACCTATTCTGACCTGGAGACTGTGTAGGGAGACAATCATGGGATGTTGGTACCCATTCTGACCTGGAGACTGTGTAGGGAGACAAGCATGGGTGTTGGGACCTATTCTGACCTGGAGACTGTGTAGGGAGACAAGCATGGGGTGTTGGGACCTATTCTGACCTGGAGACTGTGTAGGGAGACAAGCATGGGGTGTTGGGACCTATTCTGACCTGGAGACTGTGTAGGGAGACAAGCATGGGGTGTTGGGACCTATTCTGACCTGGAGACTGTGTAGGGAGACAATCATGGGATGTTGGTACCCATTCTGACCTGGAGACTGTGTAGGGAGACAAGCATGGGTGTTGGGACCTATTCTGACCTGGAGACTGTGTAGGGAGACAAGCATGGGGTGTTGGGACCTATTCTGACCTGGAGACTGTGTAGGGAGACAATCATGGGATGTTGGTACCCATTCTGACCTGGAGACTGTGTAGGGAGACAAGCATGGGTGTTGGGACCTATTCTGATCTGGAGACTGTGTAGGGAGACAAGCATGGGGTGTTGGGACCCATTCTGATCTGGAGACTGTGTAGGGAGACAAGCATGGGGTGTTGGGACCTATTCTGACCTGGAGACTGTGTAGGGAGACAAGCATGGGGTGTTGGGACCTATCCTGACCCGGAGACTGTGTAGGGAGACAAGCATGGGTGTTGGGACCCATTCTGACCTGGAGACTGTGTAGGGAGACAAGCATGGGGTGTTGGGACCCATTCTGATCTGGAGACTGTGTAGGGAGACAAGCATGGGGTGTTGGGACCTATTCTGATCTGGAGACTGTGTAGGGAGACAAGCATGGGGTGTTGGGACCTATTCTGACCTGGAGACTGTGTAGGGAGACAAGCATGGGGTGTTGGGACCTATCCTGACCTGGAGACTGTGTAGTGAGACAAGCATGGGGTGTTGGGACCTATTCTGACCTGGAGACTGTGTAGGGAGACAAGCATGGGGTGTTGGTACCTATTCTGACCTGGAGACTGTGTAGGGAGACAAGCATGGGGTGTTGGGACCTATTCTGACCTGGAGACTGTGTAGGGAGACAAGTATGGGGTGTTGGGACCTATTCTGACCTGGAGACCTTATAGGGAGACAAGCATGGGTCGTTGGGACCTATTCTGACCTGGAGACTGTGTAGGGAGACAAGCATTGGGTGTTGGGACCTATTCTGACCTGGAGACTCTATAGGGACACAATCATGGGGTGTTGGGACCTATCCTGCCCTAGAAACCCTTTGTGAAGACAAGCATGATGTGCTGGAGACCTCTCCTTCCCTGAAACCTCCAGGGGAAAACAAACATATTCCCAGATCCTCACAGGACCAGTAGATGACATGAACATTGGTCAAGATCTGTGCTTCGTCTCAGGTCATACATTTCATGCATTGCAAGTTTTGAAGAAAATAACATACAGTCCATATCTTAAAGTTAATGTACCAAAATGGAGGCTGCTTATTGGTCTAACTGCTATCTACAACATTGTAACCACCTGTTCTGTATCTAGTCACTGATGCAGTAGGCAGAAATACTGTATTCGACGTAATAAGCGCCCAGGGCGCTCTCAAAATTAGAAATAGGGGCCTCTTATTAGAATATAATTTTGGTGAGATTAAAAACAAGGTTGAAAGATTGTAAATTTTGTGGTTTATGCTGACAGCCTGAAAAGATATAAAAGAAGAATCTGTGTGTATTATACACGATAGATATACTTTCGAGAATTTAATTGCCCATAATTAAGGGTGCATATAACAAACGAGTGTGTATTATACACGAATAAATAAGTCTTGTGTACATTGATCAATCGGAAAGGGTGCTAACTGGGATTGTTCACTAGCCAATATATTAGCAAATAACGCGGTGGGCGCTTATTAGAGCGGGGTGCTTATTACGTCGAATACGGTAACTCGTATAACATATCTGTGCTTCAATCAGAATGACATGTTTATAGGAGGATTTAGAACCATTTTGTGCAAGTTACCTTAAATCATCAGAATTTGCCAAAAAAATTAATTGGCTCAGAAAGTGCTTGTAAATTTACTGATGGTAATTGAAACATATGTTGTTATTTTCTATTTGTGGCTATTATAAAAATATCAGCTCAGCTGTTGCCATTTTCTGATTTTACATTTTGAAATCTGATCAATGTTGACGGATGTTAATGCGATGTTTGTGAGCCATGTTTCTCATGCCAAGCCTGGAACTGAATTGGCTACAGCTATGTGGACATCTGACATTTATATGCTTTACACTGTCTATTACAAGTCTTGATATTGACCCATATGATGTTTCGTGATGACTTCATTTGGCACTTGTCCAAATACTTTGTGGACTTGCAAGTTTTCATTGGAGCCGCCTGAAGTGAAACAAAAACAAGACAGAATTATGGATTTGATATGATATTAAATTCAGAAATAAACGACAAGTGGATTTCCTTAACGTACAATAAAACACTGCAGGAAGAATATACCACAGGGAAGCAGCCTCAAGTGGTTTATTATCCCTGCAGTGTTTTATTGTACGAGAGGCATCAACCACTTGTCGTTTATTTCTTATTTTAGATATCAACTTTATGTACAGCCTCTTTAACTTTAACTTAAGGATCTTAATAAAATGTACAAGCTTTAGAAATGGTTACTTTGATTTTAATAATGATGACCCCCTGAATAGAATGCGACCTCGGCAATGTCGGACAAGTCCATTTTAAGAACAGGGGTTAAGTTAAGTATTTCCTGCATATTCTCACAATCCTCACGTCGATTATCTGAACCTTTTCTCCCAATACCAATTGTCATATCTCTCCCACTTTTGGATGCCATTGCGTTTATCTGCGTACCTCAGCTATATCTATGGGGAACAACTCACCAGATACTTCCCTCTTTAAATAACGTCATCCAATATATGACGTCATCAAGTTGCGAGAGCATATTCGAATCTCCAGAAATGACGTCATGATGGAACAATGTTTGATCATGAAATAAACAATGCTTCAGTCTTCATTGCTCTTTGAAATATGTCGTGTTGCTATCTTATATTCATTAATAAATGTCATGAGTCATTTTGTATTAACTTGATTAACTCTTTATGACGTCATTCTTACCCAAAATATGTGTGGTGGTGATACTTGCAGATACAACCAAGGGTGATGGGGTAGTGAGTGAGTGAGTTGGGGTTAACGCCGCTTTTAACAGTATTCCAGTTATATCGCGGCGCGTCAGCTTCATGTGGGAGGAAAGGTCTTAGACGTTTACCACTTCGGTGAAACCCACGAGCACGGTGTGGTGCTGACAAACCTAGAAACATAACCGGGATTCGAACCCACAATCATAGGTTTCTGGCGTGCCCAAGGGACGCTACTCTGCACAGCGAATTGCGGCGCCTTGGACGACTGGGCCACCCGTGCCCCTGTGATGGGGTAGGTCAGTGGTTAAAGCGCTTCTTTATCACACCAAAGTCTGGGTTTGTTTCATCACAGGGAAAACCCATTTCCATCCCTGCTGTCATGTTACTGGAAGACGTGTACAACAATACTCAGTCTCTCATTCAAAATAATTATGTTTCAGAGGATGTGACTTCTTTCTGTTTTCAGGAATTCAGTTCGTTTAGCGATCCGCAAGTTAACGTACGCTCCTGAGGAGCCGGCGCCGCAGCCAAATGCAGAGGCTGTCAAAGACTTCATGATGAGTCCAGGGAACATTAGACTAGAAGCGTCGCTGGACAAAGAGGTGAGTGAGACATACGTCTTCGTGGAATGAAATGTTTTTGTGAAAGAGTAAAGACAAGGTAGACTTATTGACATTTCTTTACTCCTTCGATCCAAACTTTTTGATACAGATGCTAGTACGTTTATCAAGCAAGTTGTATGCGTAGGACAAAAAACTCCTCTACGGTTTTGGTTGAAACTGTAGGTGAGGTGAGGTGAAATTGGGTTTAATGTCGCGTCTAAGATTATTGCACTTATATAGCGACGTGCATGCATGTGTGTGTGTGGCTGCTTGTACTAGTCCGGACTGATGCCGATTTATAGTGCTAGCACACCGAGATACCATGCCGCAGTTTAACATGAATACCCCACTCAGACACAGTATTCTGACTCCGAGCCGACCAGTCCTTGTTTTAGCCCTTTAATGCTGAGAGCCAGACAGGGTGACAACAAGTACCATCTTTTAACGTCTTTTGGTATGACGCGGCCGGGGACCGAACCCTGGACCTTCCGCTCTTCGGGCGGACGCTCTACCACAAGACCACGGAGGCGGTCCCTGTTGAAAGTGTAAAACCTCAAGCTCAGGAGAATTCCCTTGGTATATGTGGTTTTAGGTGTCCCGCATTAGGTTTTATTCACAAGCAAAAGGAGAGTGGTATAAAATATTACACACATTAAACCACATTTAGCCTGAGTGATACAATGAATTTATCTTGCCAACATGTTTCAATTTTTTGAAAGAATTAAAGCAAATTGAAAACTTTTAGAAAACAACTGTTCCATTGCGGTTTGGTTAACTGCTGCTATGTCGCATGACAAACTTGATTCAATTTCTTTTTTGCAGTCTAGACAATCAGTCACTCCACAGTTAGAATTATGGATAGTGGCTGTAATTTACAGTGCAGAGGTGCATTCCTTCCAAACAGGGTTCGAATCGCAGGTTTGGCCTGATTATGTTGGCATTGTGGTAGCACCACAGAGTGGTAATTGTCTAAGACATGCGTTAGATTGGACTTTCCTCCCACCTAATGCTGACACGCCATGAACCTGTGATGATCTGGGTTAGATATCGGTCTTTGGCAAACCATGCTTGTTGTTAGAGGCGACTAACAGGATCAGGTGGTCAGGCTTGCTTGTGGGTTGGTTGATGCATGATAATTGCATGGATCGATGCTCATAATGTCAGTCACTGGATTGTCTGGTCCAGACTGGATTATTTACAGACTGGATTATTGCTGAGTGCAAACAAACAAACATGCCATGATTTAATTGAAATACATTATTGTATTATATGTGTTATTTGATGATTTTTGACAATTTGTTTATTTCTTTTCAGAAATATTACCATGGAGAAGGACTAGCGATCAATGTTTTGGTGGACAATAACACAAGTAAAACTGTCAAGAAAATCAAAATTTCAGGTAAATATTCTTTTTGAAGACTTAAGATTAATTTGATGTAAATATTAATGTATTTGATAATCCTTCAATGCAGGTATGTTGGGATATACATGACAACCCTTCAATGCAGTGATGTTGGGATATACTTGATAATCCTTTAATGCAGTGATGTTGGGATATACTTGATAATCCTTCAATGCAGTGATGTTGGGATATACTTGATAATCCTTTAATGCAGTGATGTTGGGATATACTTGATAACCCTTCAATGCAGTGATGTTGGGATCTACTTGACAATCCTTTAATGCAGTGATGTTGGGATATACTTGATAATCCTTCAATGCAGTGATGCTTGGATATACTTGATAATCCTTCAATGCAGTGATGTTGGGATCTACTTGACAATCCTTTAATGCAGTGATGTTGGGATATACTTGATAACCCTTCAATGCAGTGATGTTGGGATCTACTTGACAATCCTTTAATGCAGTGATGTTGGGATATACTTGATAATCCTTCAATGCAGTGATGCTTGGATATACTTGATAATCCTTCAATGCAGTGGTGTTGGGATCTACTTGACAATCCTTTAATGCAGTGATGTTGGGATATACATGACAACCCTTCAATGCAGTGATGTTGGGATATACTTGATAATCCTTCAATGCATTGATGTTAGGATATACATGACAACCCTTCAATGTAGTGATGTTGGGATCTACTTGACAATCCTTCAATGCAGTGATGTTTGGATATACTTGATAATCCTTCAATGCAGTGATGCTGGGATATACTTGATAATCCTTCAATGCAGTGATGTTGGGATATACTTGATAATCCTTCAATGCAGTGATGTTGGGATATACTTGATAATCCTTCAATGCAGTGATGTTGGGATATACTTGATAATCCTTCAATGCAGGTATGTTGGGATATACTTGATAATCCTTCAATGCAGTGATGTTGGGATATACTTGATTATCCTTTAATGCAGTGATGTTGGGCCTCTATACCATAATCAGCATTATAAGTACCCATTCCAAATCTCCATGGAAATGCCAAACCACCACCCCTCCATATCAGTTTTGGGGGCAGAGTTGCCTACCTTTGGTGTTCCAGAAACCTGTGATTGTGGGTTAAAATCCCTGGTTGTCACATTTAGAAGACATTGATGTTGCTATAGTCCCCTAGCCCCCTAGCCCATTGTTTCCATATGATGGCCGATGGACTGTATAAGATGTGTTTCTACAGTATATAAGACATTATTGGTTCTCCAGTATTCTACTGGATATGATCTTGATGGGATACTCTAAATGTCTGTGGAATATGATTGGTTCCCTCATTATCTGAAATATGATTGGTCCTTCAAACAGTATCTGAAATATGCCTGGTTCTTCCCTCTGTATATGAAATATGATTGGTCCTTCAAACTGTACCTGAAATATGATTGGTTCTTCCAATAGTATCTGAAATTTGATTGGTTCTTCCCCTGTTTATGAAATATGATTGGTTCTTCCCTCTGTATATGAAATATGATTGGCTCTTCCCTCTGTATCTGAAATATGATTAGTCCTTCCAACAGTATCTGAAATATGATTGGTCCCTCCAACAGTATCTGAAATATGATTGGTTCTTCCAATAGTATCTGAAATATGATTGGTTCTTCCAATAGTATCTGAAATATGATTGGTTCTTCCCCTGTATATGAAATATGATTGCTGATTCTAACAGTAACCGAAATATGATTGGTTCTTCCAATAGTATCTGAAATATGATTGGTTCTTCCAATAGTATCTGAAATATGATTGGTTCTTCCAATAGTATCTGAAATATGATTGGTTCTTCCCCTGTATATGAAATATGATTGGTTCTTCCCTCTGTGTATGAAATATAATTAGTTCTTCCAATAGTATCTGAAATATGATTGGTTCTTCCCCTGTTTATGAAATATGATTGGTTCTTCCCTCTGTGTATGAAATATGATTGGTCCTTCCAACAGTATCTGAAATATGATTGGTTCTTCCAACAGTATCTGAAATATGATTGGTTCTTCCAACAGTATCTGAAATATGATTGGTTCTTCCAACAGTATCTGAAATATGATTGGTTCTTCTGTTAATGAATTATGATTGGTTCTTCTGTTAGCAATTCAATTAATGAGCCTCATTCTCCATGAGACCAATGAGCAGACACATGTGGTCGCTGATGAAGATATGCTGTAAGTTGTCCATCTCTAAACAACACAATGTACAACTTGTTCCTTTCACAATGCAATTCTGTTTCATACGGAAAAAAATATAGTATTAAACTTCACACCCTGATGAGATTTTTATATACTGAAAAAATCAATTTGTAAATGTGATAAATTTAATTAATCAAATTTTAAGGCCTCATTTGAGTTTATTATTGTAATAGGTTTACTCTTAAACTATAATCTCACTTACATGTGCATTTTGTACTTAATTATGTTAATGTGTTTAAGTCAAACAGAATTGCATTATGGGACTCTCACTGAGTATATTTGAATGTCACGGGTGTTTAGTGTCCGGCAGCAAGCCTGTGTGTTAATCGTCTATATCTCCTGTGTTGCTGGCCAAGGATCAGTCTGTCTGGACGAGCAACTGTTGCAGCTGTGTTGGAAACAGCTGTTTATGCATGTTGTTTGAACATTGTTACAATATATCCATATTCACTGTTGTATATCAGCTGTAGCACTACAGGTGGGATAATGTACATATCACGCATGTTGCAATCTGTGCTACAGGTTGCCAGGTAACACTGGATCATTGAAGCGACGTAATCAGAATGGTTACTATTTTTGTTGGGCTTAGCTTCAAACGTGTCATGAGAAAGAATGAAATTGTGACGGATCTCAAATTTAATTCTTTCAATTAGATTCATAAGTCAGCTGTTTTCATTGTTACTACAGCTTCTCAATTATCATTTAGATATATTTCATTGAGAAAGGTCACCTATGGGTTTTCCAGGTAAGAATGTTGGTCCCCAGCAGCCTATGCTTGTTGCAAGGTGCCTTAATCAGGTGGTCAGGCTTGCTGACTTGCTTGATTATGTGAAGATCTGGGGTAGAATAGATCTTCAGCAACCCATGCTTGCCGTAAAAGGCGACTATGCTTGTCGTAAGAGGTGATTAATGGGATCGGGTGGTCAGGCTGCAGACTTGGTTGATGCATGTCATTGATCCCAATTGCATTGATCGATGCTCATGATGTGAATCACTGGATTGTCTGGTCCAGCCTCGATTATTTACAGACCACCGTCATAAAGCTGGAATATTGTTTTATGCAATGTTTTATTCAAGTTAGTTTTCCTTAATATGTGTACCCCCAGAGATGAGAAGGTATCAACGGTACACTGATACACCAGCCATGGCAGTAATGTCAAACCAAATGTCAGTTGGTAATACCAGCCCCGAATGAGATATGTAACATTAGTGTAGATACAGGACCGAAATAGCTTGATGCCATTCAGTGATAATGGTAAGTGGCATGACATGGAGACACTTGACAACGCCTGTGAGAGCGTGGCTACACAGAGAACCAACAGGCACGATGTAACACAAGGAATGATTGTGCCCACTGAAACCAGATTCGACTGGGAGTTGACACGAGACAGCACTGCATGTACGCTCGTAACACTACACACCACTAAGATGTGGGTCAAAGATTTTCATGTACTATTATTTTTTGCTGAAATCTATTTCAGACCGTGTTGTGAATGATGGCACTGAAGGAGACCTCCACTTGTTTTCTTGTGACAAGATCAGACTTTATGGGAATCTTCATTTTTCTAGTAGAGTATTTATTGAGGGGAATTTCTGAGTATCTCCCTGATTGAATAAAGTTCCTTGCCTTGGTGCAGCGTCCTAATCAGGCTCGTGGGTTTCACCAAAGTGGTAAGCGCGCCAGAAACCTAGGATTGTTGGTTCGATTCCTGGTTCGTCCCAATTATGTCTCTAGGTTTGCCAGCACCATACCCGTGCTCATGGGTTTCAGCAAAGTGGTAAACGTCTGAGACCTGCATCACTTCAGGCTTCCCTCCACATCAAGCTTACACGCTGTGATGTAACTGCAATACTGTCCAAAGCGGCGTTAAACCCAACTCACTCACTCCAAGCCTTAGTGACTTTCCCCAGGGGCAGATCATCCATTATGGGTAGAGATGATGCCATGTATTGCACGTGGTCTTGCGAGGAGACACTGTCAGCTGGGTCCCGATGCTCTCACTACCCACTACTGGTCTGTCTGCTCCAGGACTGAACACAGGCAGCTTCGCTACAGCTGCTGTGTGACATGGTATTCCAGCATTCTGTGTCTGATGAGTCGCTGTGTTGGTATCAGTACTGTCTCGGTATCAGTACTGTTTCAGTATCAGTAGTCTCAATATCACTACTGTCTCACTATCTGTACTGGGTCTGTATCAGTACTATTTCAGTATCAGTACTGTCTCAGTATCAGTACTGGGTCTGTATTGGTACTGTGTTGGTATCAGTACTGTCTCAGTATCAGTACTGGGTCTGCATCAGTACTGTTTCAGTATCAATACTGTGTTGGTATCAGCACTATCTCAGTATCAGTACTGTCTCAGTATCAGTACTGGGTCTGTATTGGTACTGTCTTGGTATCAGTACTGTCTCAGTATCAGTACTGTTTCAGTATCAATACTGTGTGTGTATCAGCACTATCTCAGTATCAGTACTGTTTCAGTATCAGTACTGTTTCAGTATCAGTACTGTCTCAGTATCAGTACTATTTCAGTATCAGTACTGTCTCACTATCAGTACTGGGTCTGCATTAGTACTGTTTCAGTATCAATACTGTGTTGGTATCAGCAATATCTCAGTATCAGTACTGTTTCAGTATCAGTACTGTCTCAGTGACAGTACTGTCTCACTATCAGTACTGCTGGAGTACTGTTTCAGTATCAATACTGTGTTGGTATCAGCAATATCTCAGTGACAGTACTGTCTCACTATCAGTACTGTCTCACTATCAGTACTGTCTCACTATCAGTACTGTGTTGGTATCAGTACTGTTTCAGTATCAGTACTTGGTCTGTATCAGTACTGTCTCAGTATCAGTACTATTTCAGTATCAGTACTGTCTCAGTATCAACTATTTCAGTATCAGTACTGTGTTGTATCAGTACTGTGTTGTATCAGTACTGTCTCACTATGAGTACTGTGTTGGTATCAGTACTGTCTCAGTATCAGTATCAGTCAGTGTTGCTCATTCAGTGTGTCATGAGGCACTTTATATGTGAACTGGATCCATGTCAAGCTGAGGCTGTTCTCCCCATGGACAAATCCTGTGTATACAGGAATTAAGTCGGAGACATTTTAGATGCCACGGACAAATCCATACGCTGATCTGCAAGGCCAGTTCCAGACATGCAAGTCAAATAGTACCCTGCAGGCCTACAAATTAAACATTTCCCCCTGGTAAACGATGGTGTCTATGTGAAGTTCCACAACGTCTCGCCCATCATCTGACATTTCATTTTGCCTCAAGCATCTGATGTTATAGTACAAATTGATTTTACTGTCCATACCCTTCAGAGATTCAAAACATCAGCACCAGAATATAATCCGTCTCAAATATCTGCCCGAAACTTTTCCACAGGGAGTAATAGGCAGGATAGAATTTAAATGTACATGAATTGATCACTAAAATTCACGATGACACCAGGTGTTCGCAAAAAGGTCAGCTTGTTTGTTTGTTTGTTTGTTTGTTTGTTTGTTTGTTTGTTGTTTAACGCCGCACTCAGCAATATTACAGCTATATGACGGCAGTCTGTAAATAATCGAGTCTGGACCAGACAATCCAGTGATTGACATCATGAGCATCGATCCACACAATTGGGATCGATGACATGCATCAACCAAGTCAGCGAGCCTGACCACCCGATCCCGTTAGTCGCCTTTTACGACAAGCATAGTCGCCTTTTATGGCAAGCATAGGTTGCTGAAGACCTATTCAACCCCGGAATTTCATGGGTCAAAAAGAAAAGAAAAAAGGTCAGCATGTCTTGGGTGCCGTTGTTTAAAACAACCTTAGCGCTACGACTGTTGTAAGTCTATGTTAATGTATGGAGTTACAATCACCTTTGCGCTAAGATCGCTTTGTACAAGGGCACCCTGCTCTACAGGTGAAACCTGCCACTCACACATTACAATGGGTCTGTAAGCAATTGCACGTGAGTGAGAAGGTGTAGAGGTCATAGCATATGGGATAGCATCACGGCGGTTATCATATTTAGTAGATTTGCCTGATTGTCAACCATGACATATATGGAATGACTAAGATTGTTTCAGTCATTTAACATTCAGGGCAATCGTAGCACTGTGACTGTTGTACGTCTTTGTTAAAGTATGGGAGTTACAATCATCTTAGCACAACGATGGTTTTATGGACCAGGGCCCCATTCCACAAAGCAATCTTAGCGCTACGAATGTCATAAGTCAGTGTTAAGAATGGGAGTTACGATCATCTTAGCACAACAATGGTTTTATGGACCAGGGCCCCATTCCACAAAGCAATCTTAGCGCTACGATTGTCGTAAGTCAGTGTTATAGAATTGGAGTTACAATCACCTTAGCGCTAAGATTGCTTTGTGGAACAGGGCCCAGGGCCCTGTACATTTTGCCGCCATGCCCTTCAAGATTATCATCTGTTACTGTCGTGTTATTTAAGAGTTTGGACTAAAATCTCTTCCTACCTTAAATTACTGGGGGCATGGGTGGCCCAGTTGTCTAAGGCGCCGCGATTCGCTGTGCAGAGTTGCGTCCCTTGAACACGCCAGAAACCTATGATTGTGGGTTCGAATCCCGGTTCGCCCCGATTATGTTTCTAGGTTTGTCAGCACCATACCCTTGCTCTTGGGTTTCACCGAAGTGATAAACGTCTGAGACCTGCATCACTTCAGGCTTTCCTCCCACATTAAGCTGGCACGCCGTGATAAAACTGGAATACTGTTAAAAGCGGCGTTAAACCCAACTCACTCACTCACCTTAAATTACTATGCCAAGGACACCCAGTAGCTCATATCGATTATTGGAGATGATGAAAAACTCCAGATAATGACAAACATTAGTCAGAAGTCCAATGATCTGGTTGAAAGAAAACCTGATGGATCAGTCCTCGGGGCAGCCCCAGGCTCTGCTGCTCTGTGGATAAGCCGGCCATTTGTCACTCAGATCAGATTTGTCTGTTTTTCATCCAGAGGATGGGTATATGGAGAAATATTCTGTAGCTTCAATATAAGACCGCAGTCACACTCCTTTTACAAACTTACCCTTGAGGATGCAGATTAGAATTGATCTTCTGAAGCCCATACTTGTCGTAAGAGGCGACTAACGCGATGGGGTGGTCAGACTTGGTGACTTAGTTGATGCATGTCATTGTATACAATTGCCTGAATCAATGCTCGTGATATCAGTCACTGGATTGTTTGTCAGACACCTGGAATATTGCTGATTGCGGCGTCAGACTACAAACAAACTGTTTGTTAGAAATATATTGGTAATTATTGTAAATGCTTATGTAGGAAGGTCAGAGAGACTAAGCCTTCTTGGCCAAGGACAAGGTTGTCACCTGGTGTAAGAGGTCCAAACTGTGACAGATAAAGCCTTCTTGGCCATGAGGACAAGGTTGTCACCTGGTGTAAGAGGTCCAAACTGTGACAGATAAAGCCTTCTTGGCCATGAGGACAAGGTTGTTGCCTGGTCTAAGAGGTCCAAACTGTGACAGATAAAGCCTTCTTGGACATGAGGACAAGGTTGTCACCTGGTGTAAGAGGTCCAAACTGTGACAGATAAAGCCTTCTTGGCCATGAGGACAAGGTTGTCACCTGGTGTAAGAGGTCCAAACTGTGACAGATAAAACCTATATGGCCATGAGGACAAGGTTGTCTGGTGTAAGAGGTCCAAACTGTGACAGATAAAGCCTTCTTGGACATGAGGACAAGGTTGTCACCTGGTGTGTGTTTCCTGGTTTGATTCCCAGTTTGGACTCAGATAATGGATGATTGATTCGTCGTAAACTGAAGGTGTTGAGACAAAGATAGGTAAATAGTATTGCTATATTTTAAGATATGAATTAGGTTTTCCTGATAAAAAGTTGCAAATAGACATACATGTTTGCGTGTGAAAAGATGAGTGTACTGGAAAAACAAGTATAAATGATATTTTTAATTTATATTTCGCTGTACTTGACATGGAGGAGTACCATGTGGGCTGGCAGCATCAACTTTCTGCTGTGTGATGGTATTGCAGAAAGTCTGCTGATGTAGCGATATATCCGATGCATTGTAAATGTGTCATGCCTTGTCACTGTGTTTGTTTTTTCACCTGTCCGATGTCTTATATACTTATATGTCTTATATGTACATTTGTTGATGTTTTGTTTGCACATGCAGTGCGGCAGTTTGCAGATATCTGTCTCTTCTCAACTGCACAGTACAAATGCACCGTTGCTGAGCTGGAGAGCGAGTGAGTAACATATGAGTTTATGGGATGTTTGTGTTGGATACAGCTGTGGGATATGTGGTACAGATGTGGTACAGGTGTGGAATCTTTGTACAGATGTGGGATACAGGTGTGGGATTCATGGTACAGATGTGGGAAACAGCTGTGGGATACGGGGTACAGGTGTGGGATACATGGTACAGATGTGGGATACATGGTACAGGTGTGGGATTCATGGTACAGATGTGGGATACAGTTGTGGGAAAGGTGGTACAGGTGTGGGATACATGGTACAGATGTGGGATATGTGGTACAGGTGTGGGATATGTGGTACAAATGTGGGATACAGGTGTGGGATACGTGGTACAGATGTGGATACAGGTGTGGATACAGGTGTGGGATACATAGTACAGATATGGGATACAGTTGTGGGATATGTGGTACAGATGTGGGATATGTGATACAGGTGTGGGATACATGGTACAGATGTGGGATTCAGCTGTGGAATAAGTGATACAGGTGTGGGATACATGATACTGATGTGGGATACAGGTGTGGGATACGTGGTACAGATGTGGGGTACACGTGTGCCATATACCAGCAATACCAATGCGGGGGACACCAGAAATGGGCTTCACACATTGTACCCATGTTGGGAATCGAACCCGGGTCTTCGGTTTGCTTTAACCACTAGGCTACCCCACTTCCCCTACAAAAGCATCCCAGTCCGCAATCATTACACTTCAATAAATGTTGTATTGCATGCCTCCTTATTCTCCATACCAACACAAATCAAATTTCACATTCATCATGAAATAATTTTGTAGTAGGATGTTGGTTCAGATGTTGTATGGAGCTATGAAGGAAATTGAGGACAGCATGGAGTCCTACATCGCTGATAGTGTGTCATTGATGCTATTTTCTTTGTGTAGAACCTCCATCATCTGTAATTGTAGTTACAATGTAATTTGTACACTCGATCAGGTCATTTTCGTCCGAGAATATAAGTCCATATCACATCATTCAGACAATTAAGACAATTACTGTCGTTTAGTTTGCTGCATGTGGACAATAGCACACCACGTTGAGGCATGCTTATTGTTGACTATTTATGGCTGACATTTTGTTCGACAGTCTAACGCACGCAGTGTGAAACAATCATGTCCAATCAACTGTCTTGTCTATGGAGTAAATGAAAATTCTTACCTATTCATTTAATAATTTATGTCATAATTTGATTTAATCTTTGAAGTCCTCATGAATGTTTCTATTTAGGGGCATTTTTTCATTTAATCTTTTCAAATATATCTATATATGTATATATATGTTTTATAAGTATGAATATTTTTGTCAAAGTCATTTAAGTTTTCATTTTTATTTTTTCGTGCTTTTCCATCAATTTAGAACACACGAGAACAAAAATCAATATTTTAATCTTTTTTATATCATGGATTGTTGCTCACACAGTCAATCACTGGATTGTCTGATCCATACTCAATTATATACAGACTGCCATCATAAAGCTGAAACATTGCTGAGTGAAGCATTAAACAACAATCAGTAAATTTGATGTTATAGGTTTGACCTTTCAATTTCTTTTTTGGTTCATTGTTGATTGCGCGGAAGGTCGGTTTGATGCCCGGCCATGTCATACCATAAGATTTTAAAAGATGGTACTTGTTGTTACCCTGCCTGGTGCTCATGTGATTCCCCGCAGTGTTGTACATCATTAGAAAGAGCCACTTACCCTATGTTGTACACCGTTATATAGAGGCTTTCTCCCCTGTGTTGTACACCATTATAAAGAGGCACTCTCCCCTGTGTTGTAATTCTAGGGAGGGCTTCCCAATCCAGCCGAGCCAAACAGGCTTCTGCAAGGTGTATCACTTAACCCCTTTATTGTCAAACAACCGAGACAAGCGTGGTCTGGCACTGGACGGCAAGCTGAAGCATGAGGACACAAACTTGGCCTCTTCTACAATGTGAGTACCAGAGTGTGAGAGTAGGTGTGCATTTAGTTACCGGTCGCTGTCATATAGCTGCAATATTGCCGAGTGAGAGTGGGTGTGCATTTAGTTACCGGTCGCTGTCATATAACTGAAATATATGGAGTGAAAAGTTAAACATCAAACAAACAATAGTGAACAAAGAAAGATTATTTTTTCATGGACCCGTGAAGATCCGGGGTAGAATAGGTCTTCCGCAACCCATGCTTGCTGTAAAAAGCGTTTACGCTTGTCGTAAGAGGCGACTAGCAGGAACTGGTGGTCAGGCTCGCTGACTTGGTTGATGTGTGTCATCGTATCCCATTTGCATGGATCGATGCTCATGATGTCAATCACTGGATTGTCTGGTCCAGGCTTGATTTTTTTTACAGACTGCCGTCATTAAGATGGAATATTGCTGAGTGTAGCGTTAAACAACAAACAAACATGGCTTGAATCCACCCTCCTGGGCTTGATAATTGGTGTCACATCACAGAATTATTGCACTTACAAACTTCTTTATTTCCTCAATATTGAAGATTCCGGGTTAGAATAGGTCTTCAGCAATCCATGCTTGCCGTAAAAGGTGACTATGCTTGTCGTAAAAGGCGACTAACGGGATCGGGTGGTCAGGCTCACTGACTTGGTTGATGCATGTCATCGATCCCAATTGCGTGGATCGATGCTCATGATATCAATCACTGGATTGTCTTGTCCAGACTCGATTATTTACAGGCACCATCATATAGCTGTAATATTGCTGAGTGCGGCGTTAAACAACGAACCAACCATACAACCAACTCAATATTATAAGGACATACTATACTACTCAAAAGAGGTTAAGGGGCATGACATCAACTGTAGTAATATACAAGAATCAGGTGTTTTTGATCTTACTTGAGTAGTATAAATGAAAACAGGAAGTGCTGAAATCAACCAGATGGAAAGCCGGCTGCTTCTGAAATCTTGCTGTAATTTTTGTTTATAAAGCATACAAAGAAATGTGAAGCTTTTGAAGTTTCGGTTTTTTTCGGATATACTTGCCTCAAGGCCTATTAGGTGTCTTGATGCTACAGAATTGATGCTCGATTGGTTAAAAACTTGAGTCACCTTTGAAGTGCAGTGTCTTGTTAGTAGCAGACGTGTGCACTTCATTATCTGGGGAACTTACTGGGTGGTTCCAAGGGGAAATAACTCCTGGGAGTAATGGCCTTGTACCTGAGAGGCTTCCTGTTTGGGAATCTGAACGGATTAGGTAACGAGCTAGTCCTGTTTCACGTTTCATCCGTCCTCAAGGAGTGGAATTTGTGGTGCAATAAGAAGGTGTAATTAGTTGGAACATCATTAATTTGGCTAATTACCTCACTGCTTTTGATCTGTTTTGCGTCTAGGACATATATTTTATGTAATGGATGTCAGCTGTTTGAACTTTTTTATGAACTCTTTTGCCTCGAATGAAATGTATATATTTATAATACTTACACATTAATGATTGTGATTTCACAATACTGAATATGATGGGTTTGTTATATGAAGATTTAGGTGTTTTTATATGGGGATTTGAGATGGGATGATGGTTATTACATGGGGATCTGGGATGAAGATTATAGTTATTACATGGGGATCTGGAATGGGGATGATGGTTATTACATGGGGATCTGGAATGGGGATGATGGTTATTACATGGGGAATTGAGATGGGATGATGGTTTCACATGGGGATCTGGGATGAGGATGTGGTTATTACATGGGGATCTGGGATGAGGATGTGGTTATTATATGGGGATCTGGGATGAGGATGTGGTTATTACATGGGGATCTGGGATGGGGATGATGGTTATTACATGGGGATCTGGGATGAGGATTATGGTTTTTACATGGGGATCTGGGATGAGGATTATGGTTATTACATGGGGATCTGGAATGGGGATGATGGTTATTACATGGGGATCTGGTATGAGGATTATGGTTATTACATGGGGATCTGGGATGAGGATTATAGTTATTACATGGGGATCTGGAATGGGGATGATGGTTATTACATGGGGATCTGGGATGGGGATGATGGTTTCACATGGGGATCTGGGATGAGGATGTGGTTATTACATGGGGATCTGGGTTGGGGATGATGGTTATTACATGGGGATCTGGAATGAGATGATGGTTATTACATGGGGATCTGGGATGGGGATGGTGGTTTCACATGGGGATCTGGGATGAGGATGTGGTTATTACATGGGGATCTGGGTTGGGGATGATGGTTATTACATGGGGATCTGGGATGAGATGATGGTTATTACATGGGGGATCTGGCATGTGATGATAGTTATTACATGGGAATCAAGGATGGGGATGCTGGTTATTACATAGTGATCTTGGATGAGGTGATGGTTATTACAGAATGATCTGGGATGAGGTGATGGTTATTACATAATGATCTGGGATGAGGTGATGGTTATTACATGGGGGATCTGGCATGTGATGATGGTTATTACATGGGAATCAAGGATGGGGATGCTGGTTATTACATAATGATCTGGGATGAGGTGATGGTTATTACATATGGATCTGGGATGTTGTTGCTAAGATGATTCCACTATGCTCCTTCAAGTCAGTATTAACAAATGTCCATGAAGATACTCAAGGATAGTATTATAATGGTAGTCTAGTAGTCAGGCATTGGCTCATGTGCCCCTCAACCCTATGTTCGATTCTCTGACAGTAGAGCAACTTCCCTGTTTCTATTTTGTCCATTCCACTCACATCAAACTACAGCAGGTCAGACACTGCCTCTCGCGGAGGGAGCGTTTACGCAACCCATTTCCACCGTGGTCGGCTGACAGCAGGCAGATCTTGTTCACATAGTCATTGACAGCCAGCATTAAGGGCTACCTCCAACCTGGTCTTTACTTAAGGCTGGTTGGGTAGGGGAAAGCTGGATGAACAGCTCCGAGCCATCAGCAGCGATATCTAACACTGATGTATGTCTAGACACCGCGATGTACATTACGCCAACTCAGTTGCAGCTAAGATATTCATTGGACTTGTATTGATCGTGCAAAATCTAATCTGCCTGAATATAACTTTGATTTGAAAGATTGATTTTTAGACCAGGAAAAATCATTAACAGAAAACATGAACCAGCATATTGTCTCTCCAGAATATAAATGCTATGTAAATATGTATATTGTAAGGTGGAGCTGTTGTTGGTTGGATTGGAAGAGATGATATTTATCTGTGGCTATTCAGTAAAATCACTGGTGCTCTCACTGCCGATTGGATGGTTGTGCAGTGTGGTATACATGCTATATCAGCATTGCATCATTGATTTGGCCCCACAGCTTATTGAAACAGAAAGGGCTCGAGTGTCAGGCATGGATTTGGATGACCTTGACCTGAGTCACCTGGGTCACACCTATCCCACGATGCAATAGTGTCAGTGTGAAACGTCTTGTGCAGATGTTTGGGGGTCAAAGGTTGAGTGCGAGATATTGTATTATGCCGGATTGTTGTATTTGTATTTATTCTTTTGATCTGTTAGTGTTTTTAAGGTTAAGCATTGATAAATACTATAATATATTTGGGAAAGTTAAAAACTTATTTGTCAATGGTTTCAATTCAACTGCATGCTTCGGTTATGATATGCGTTCATGAAAGCTTTTAGCAAGTAGCAGAAATACAATTAAAGAAAAGATACTGATTATTACTAGGAGTTCGTGGTAATATTTAAGTGGAGACGAGTAAAGGAATTGTATGATAAGCACCTGTAGTAATTTCAAGGGAACCCAAGTGAATATAAGCACCGCTGAGCACTGTAGTAATATTAAGGGGACCACAGTGAATATAAGCACCACTGAGCACTGTACTAATATTAAGGGGACCGTAGGGAATATAAGCACCGCTTAACACTGTAGTAATATTAAGGGGACCCCAGTGAATATAAGCACCGCTAAGCACTGTAGTAATATTAAGGGGAACACAGTGAATATAAGCACCGCTGAGCACTGTAGTAATATTAAGGGGACCCCAGTGAAAATAAGCACTACTGAACAATGTAGTAATATTAAGGGGAACACAGGGAATATAAGCACTACTGAGCACTGTAGTAATATTAAGGGGACCCCAGTGAAAATAAGCACTGCTGAACAATGTAGTAATATTAAGGGGACCCCAGTGATTATAAGCACTGCTGAGCACTGTAGTAATATTAAGGGGACCACAGGGAATATAAGCACTACCAAACAATGTAGTAATATTAAGGGGACCGTAGGGAATATAAGCACTGTCGAGTGTGGCAGAATCTTTTCTGTAATTATTTAAACCTTAACATTTTAGCAAAAGTCCATTCTCTCGAGAGTATGAAATATAAGTCCAAATGAAGGAAAGTAAATGATAGTCACGTCATGGAAACATTTTACATAACGCTGCATGAAGGCTGTCCTCTTGAGGGAAACTGCAGCGGCATGACACTGATCCGTTGAGACATGGAACCAAACAGTGCTCCATCACAGTATCTCACGGCTATTCTGTTGCCATGGTAACAGAGAGTTGTCATTTTCCGTTACATGTTCCACAAGAATGCCAGCAAGGCAGGTTGAAATGTCACCAGGGTTTGTGTCCAAGACACTTTAACTGCCAGTGCTCGGGGGGCAAACTCAGAGATGCAGGAAACGCCAGAGTTAACGTGGGAGGATGTTTTTCCAACATCAAGGCATCAACTGAATGGACAATCTGTTCTTTTCTTATCATCACAGTTATACTCATAGCAACCATTAGGTGGGTGGGGGTTAGTGACAGCTATAGCAACCATCAGGTGGGTGGGGGTTAGTGACAGCTATAGCAACCATCAGCTGGGTGGGGGTTAGTGACAGCTATAGCAACCATCAGGTAGGTGGGGGTTAGTGACAGCTATAGCAACCATCAGGTGGGTGGGGGTTAGTGACAGCTATAGCAACCATCAGCTGGGTGGGGGTTAGTGACAGCTATAGCAACCATCAGCTGGGTGGGGGTTAGTGACACCCATAGCAACCATCAGGTAGGTGGGGGTTAGTGACAGCTATAGCAACCATCAGCTGGGTGGGGTTAGTTACTCCCATAGCAACCATAAGCTAGGTGGGGGTTAGTTACTCCCATAGCAACCATAAGCTAGGTGGGGGTTAGTGACAGCTATAGCAACCATTAGGTGGGTGGGGGTTAGTGACAGCTATAGCAACCATCAGGTGGGTGGGGGTTAGTGACAGCTATAGCTACCATCAGGTGGGTGGGTGTTAGTGACAGCTATAGCAACCATCAGGTGGGTGGGGTTAGTGACAGCTATAGCAACCATCAGCTGGGTGGGGGTTAGTGACAGCTATAGCAACCATCAGCTGGGTGGGGGTTAGTGACAGCTATAGCAACCATCAGGTAGGTGGGGGTTAGTGACAGCTATAGCAACCATCAGCTGGGTGGGGGTTAGTGACAGCTATAGCAACCATCAGGTGGTTTGGGGTTAGTGACAGCTATAGCAACCATCAGGTGGGTGGGGGTTAGTGACAGCTATAGCAACCATCAGGTAGGTGGGGGTTAGTGACAGCTATAGCAACCATCAGGTGGGTGGGGGTTAGTGACAGCTATAGCAACCATCAGGTGGGTGGGGGTTAGTGACAGCTATAGCAACCATCAGGTGGGTGGGTGTTAGTGACAGCTATAGCAACCATCAGGTAGGTGGGGGTTAGTGACAGCTATAGCAACCATCAGGTGGGTTGGGGTTAGTGACAGCTATTGCAACCATCAGCTGGGTGGGGGTTAGTGACAGCTATAGCAACCATCAGCTGGGTGGAGGTTAGTGACAGCTATAGCAACCATCAGGTGGGTGGGGGTTAGTGACAGCTATAGCAACCATCAGGTAGGTGGGGGTTAGTGACAGCTATAGCAACCATCAGGTGGGTGGGGGTTAGTGACAGCTATAGCAACCATCAGGTGGGTGGGGGTTAGTGACAGCTATAGCAACCATCAGCTGGGTGGGGGTTAGTGACACCCATAGCAACCATCAGGTGGGTGGGGGTTAGTGACAGCTATAGCAACCATCAGCTGGGTGGGGGTTAGTTACACCCATAGCAACCATCAGGTGGGTGGGGGTTAGTGACAGCTATAGAAACCATCAGGTGGGTGGGGGTTAGTGACAGCTATAGCAACCATCAGGTGGGTGGGGGTTAGTGACAGCTATAGCAACCATCAGGTGGGTGGGGGTTAGTGACAGCTATAGCAACCATCAATGGGTGGGGGTTAGTGACAGCTATAGCAACCATCAGCTAGGTGGGGGTTAGTTACTCCCATAGAGGGGCAGTGGGGCAGCCCAGTGGTTAAAGCGTCTGCCCATCACGCCAAAGGCACGGGTTCAATTCTCTTCACGGGTACAATGTTTGAAGCCCATTTCCCCTGCTCTCCTATTGCTGAAATATTGCTAAAAGCGGCGTAAAACCGTACTCACTCACTCACTTCACCCATAGAGACCGCCTCCATGGTCTAGTCAAAGCGGAAGGCCCGGGATTCGATCCCCGGCCGCGTCATACCAAAAGACGTTAAAAGATGGTACTTGTTGTTACCCTGTCTGGCGCTCGGCATTTAGGGGCTAAAACAAGGACTGGTCGGCTCGGAGTCTGTATACTGTGTCTGAGTGGGGTATTCATGTTAAACTGCGGCATGGTATCTCAGTGAGCTAGCACTATAAATCGGCATCAGTCCGGACTAGTACAAGCAGCCACACATGCACACACACGTACATGCACGTCGCTATATAAGTGCAATAATCTTGGACGCGACGTTAAACCCCATTTCACCACCACCACCACTTCACCAATAGCAACACTCGGTTGGGTGGGGGGTAAGTAATATTTTTTAATGTTATGGAGTGAACAGAGGTTCAAGTGGTTTTGACCACGCCCAATAAAGTGGACATTATGAGGCTGACCTGACTTCCTCTCTCAAGGGCAGGAGAATGGTGATGTTCATCCTACTTAAGTCCTTATCACTGACTAATTGTAGCCTACAGTGGAATAGCTTGAGAGTGATGATCAATGAATAAAGTACAGCATGGCCTTTGACCTGACTGATGCTGTTATATATATTTTGGACACGTTTTTTGCCGATGTTGTCATTGATATGAAAAAATATCTTCCATTAAGTTTCTTGTTTTTTTCACTTATCATTATCACTTCAACATTGTTTATTACAAAAATTGAAAGATTTAAATTTGATTAAATTTTGTTTCTTAGCACCCATTCTGATACATGTATGCCAAGTATATTTATTGATAATGGTCTGAAAAGATTTTATGTTAGAGATACTTTTGTGACTAGGGATTTTCCTGTTATGAACATGTAATAAAATGAAAGAAAATCTTATTACAAGCTTGTTGAATGTTTGTAAACCACCAAACTGTGAAATGGTTCAAATATTTCAGATGTAATCATGTTATTGGTTTCAACAATATGTGTTTGTAAGTTAACGAAGCTTTAATCAATGCTGTAGCCAGCTTGTGCTCTCATGGAGGCAAATCATGTACGGTTAAGTCTTGTTAATCCGACAATCGGCTTTATCCGACACTAATGATGGAAACCGATTGAATCAGTGCTATTTAGACCCGTTAATCCGACAGTATTGCACTCCGACTCTGACACACCAAATTTGCAACGAATTACTGAAATCAGTCATTAATCAGTGTTGTTAATCCGACACAGTGATCAGCGTTCTCCGTGGTCATCTGCCCGTGAGTACACAGCCCGTGTTTTGATGCGAGACAAATCGGCTGGTAGCTGCATATTACAACGGCTGCAGAGATAAACTTGCTTAACAATAAACAATTACTGCTATAAATAAAGAAACAACCTTTCGCGAACTATGACCTACCAATAAAATTACTAACAGGAAGTCGACATTAGCCACTAAGAAAGCAGCTTTCTTGAGCTTTGCAGCACTAGTTTCAAACTGACGACTTCCATTCCAGACCATGCTTTTTAAAGTATTTTGAATAAGTCATACAGTCCATAACAGTTGTGTTGTGTTTAACTTTAGAGGTTGCATAATTAGAAAACGTATTCTGCTAACAATGTAACATAACAATATGAATATCGTGTAGTTGTCCAATTTTCGATCACGAACGTTGATACTGCTTAATTTCGTTTATCCGACGTACTCGTTAATCCAACATAATCATATGCAACCATCGATGTCGGATTAACGGGACTTGACTGTATTTATAGTTTGAGAGTTTTCTCATAAATACTGATACATGTATCTGAAATCTCTCAGTGAAAATGTTTAGAATGGCCAGGAGATGTGGGGTAGCCTAGGGACCCTTTCTGGTGTCCCCTGCTGTGATAGTGAAAATTTCTAAAAGTAGTGTAAAACCATACTCACTCACTCATTCACTTTAAATGTACACGTTCTTAGCTACAGTAAACTACAGTTTTGAAGAACTCAAAGGGACCACTTTTAGTCTGTTATAACTGCAGTTCGTTATAAGCATATATACAACACACAAACAGCAAATGGCTGTGACCAAAAAATAAGTTTGTTATATCCATCAGTTCGTTATGAGCGTGTTCGTAGTTTACTAGTTTTACTGTACAGTTGTTGATAAACATGGAGACATGTGCCCAATCGGAAAAAAAAGGTTTGGGATGCTCATGTTTAAGCAAACTCGTTTACTGATGGCTAAAATGTTTCTCATATCAAGCAATGGTTTGCAATGTGCAGACGACCCGTGAAGATCCCGGTTAGAATAGGTCTTCAGCAACCCATGCTTGCCGTAAAAGGCGACTATGCTTGTCGTAAAGGGGCGTCTAAAGGGATCGGGTAGTCAGACTCACTGACTTGGTTGATGCATGTCTTCATATCCCAATTGCGTGGATCGATGCTCATGATGTCAATCACCAGATTGTCTGGTCCAGATTTGATTATTTAGAGACCTCCGTCATATAGCTGGAATATAACTGAGTGTGGCATTAAACAACAAACAAACAATGTCCAGACCTGATTACTTACAACGGACATAATATTGCAGTAATATGCTGACTGTGCATAAAACAGCATTGATTGATGTCATTGAGTCATGTTTTCTTTCGTTAACAGAATGACGGACAGTAGTCAGAAAGAAAGTCTCGGCATTGTGGTCTCCTACAGAGTCAAGGTCAAACTCATCCTGGGATTTGGATCCGGGTAAGTTGATCTCACTGTGGAGGTATTTTTATTAATAATTTAGAAATGTTAATCTTCTAACTCGTATCTAAAACATGTAATATAAAGCCATTTTGATGAGACAATGTGAAAAATGAGTTGGACTTAATGCATGCAGCTATGAAGTTTCTATCTAGAACACATCTTCCCGAGGCAAGAGAGTTAACTGAAGTCCAGTTTCCCCCCTTGCCGAACTAGGCTGGAATTCCTGGGCTCGATCGTAGAGCCACCAGTGGCTATTACCAGTTATGTCCCTTCTAAGCCTCTCCTATGGACCAATCAGATTCCACCTCTTGTATTACTTGCATTTGCTTCACACACAATGGTGGCGCCGAGTCAGGACGATCTGCTCGATTAATCAAGATCTATATAGTGATAAAACGGGTCTTACATCGCGAAATGCATCAAATCACGTGAGCACCTTGATTATAAACATGAAAGGATTTTGAAAATATCTGTTGACAACGAGTTGGCAGTGCACATGCTTTGCAAATCCTGCTATCGACCGAAATCTGCATGACAGTTTACGAACCGGATTTTCGATTATGATGTTGCCTGTTCATTTTGTGCTCAATTTTATGAACCTCATAAAAAAGATTAAATAATTTGAAAGTATAGGATTTTTAAAGTATACTTATAGGTTTCACTGAAGCTGACATATGACTGAATTGTTTGATAGGCATTATTTAGAAGTTGATGGATGACAAAGTAGACACAATTTAGGGATAACAACTTCTTTGATACTATTAAAAGCGACGTTTCTTTTTACAGTATTAAAGAAGTTGTTTTCCATACATTGTGTCTACTTTAACTGACGCCCTGTTCAAAGCCACATTAAAAACAACTCGCTCACTATCAGGGTTTGCGACGAGACCTAATTTATTCGATGTGAGCTAGCGAGTTTCAATTGCTTCTTTATTCTGTTTCCAGGGACCTGTCGGTGGAGTTGCCATTCACGTTGACGCACCCCAAGCCCCCAGAGTCCCCACCCCCATCACGCCCCGCCAGTCTGGTGCCCGCGGAGGGAGGAGATGCTCCGGTCGACACCAACCTCATACAGCTCGACACAAAGTCAGTTACCTCCCTTTGTAGGATCTTACCATGAATCAGTGCTCATTGTTGTTCATCGTTGTTCATCATTGTTCATCGTTGTTCTTTCACCAGAGGGGGCACGGGTGGCCCAGTCGTCTAAGGCGCCGTGATTCGCTGTGCAGAGTTGCGTCCTTTGGGCATGCCAGAAACCTATGATTGTTGGTTCGAATCCCGGTTCACCCTGATTATGTTTCTAGGTTTGTCAGCACCATACCCATGCTCTTGGGTTTCACCGAAGTGGTAAACGTCTGAGACCTGCATCACTTGGGGCTTTCCTCCCACATTAAGCTGGCTTGCCGTGATATAACTGGAAAACTGTTAAAAGCGGTGTTTAACCCAACTCACTCACTCACTTTCACCAGAGCTGTGTCCCTTAGCTGATTCAGTCATTGTGGGTTTGAATCCCTGATTCACTGTGATCCTTTATCCATCTGCACCATCCTCATGCTCATGAGACTAAAGTGACACCCCACGAAGATCCGGGTCAGAATAGATCTTCAGCAAACCATGCTTGTTGTAAGAGGCAACTAACAGGATCAGGTGGTCAGGCTCGCTGACTTGGTTGATGCATGTCATCATATCCCAATTTTGTGGATTGATGCTCATGATGTCAGTCACTGGATTGCCTGGTCCAGACTTGATTATGTACAGACCATTGTCGTATTGGTGTAATATTGTTAAGTGTGGCGTTAAACAAACAAACAAACCCTAACCCTAGCACTATTACAGATGTAAATAGCATTTTTATATCTATAAAATGATAAAATATTTTTAAAAATTGGAAGATCCGACCCAGTTTTGATATAACCCCATCAATAATTTTTTTTCAATTACGTTTTCAGTGGAGAGGCATTCTACGGCGACAAGGATGACGACTTTATTTTCGAAGACTTTGCTCGTCTTCGCCTCAAAGGACACGAAGGAGATGATACGGAGGCCTAACCATCTCAGAATTCTACTGATTGCGTGATTACAGCACCGAATGTCAAGCTCAAGGGGGGATAACCCATGTCAAGTGATGGAGTGGGCCTTTGGAGTTATCTCCCTCCAGCTCCTAAAGCTATAGTGTTTTTATTGAAGACAGACCTATTTATGCTAATAACTGTACAAGAAGATGTTTGTGGATGTTAGCTGTTCTAGCCTCACATGGTGGCCATCTTGTGCTGGCGGCCGACAACTGTTTCCTAAGCTTGTTGAAGTGCATTTATTATAATGGCAGAGTGATAAGATTCTTCCCTCCCAGCTAAAGTATAACTTATTATATATTGCATTGAACATTGCATAAGCTTTTCTAGGATTTTTGTTCCTTTTTATTTAAAGAAACACAACTTCGAGTTTAGTATGAGCGATGTATTCCAAATGTGTAATAGATCATGAGTTGAAAGAAATATTTTATGTCAAATGGTGACATGGACCCAAAATTTACGCAGCATCTCTGCCAAAAATCGAAATAATGTGTTTGCTTTGCCATTGTTGAAAATGGTTATTCACAGAAAAATTAACATACAAATAAAAAACTGTTGTTATAGCAAACCATGTAGACCGTGATAAAGGTCTCATTGTGTTATGTGCAGACAGGATAATAGTATCCGTGCAGGTTATTTATAGATATGAAATGTGTTCAAAATCCAGATATTTTCCTACTTAAAGTTTTACCAAAAAGGGAATTTCTGAACACCCTTTCACAAGAGACCACATTTTAAGGTGTATATTTATGTCCAATGACAGATCTGAAAACGGGTAAATGTTCTGATTGGATAGGCATCCAGCTCTTGGATCATTGTCTACCAAAGTAAACTGGCATTCTGTTTTTGCGCTTTTACCTACTATAAATCTAACCAAACCAATCTTTATAGGCAGTAACGACTGCAATATAATTAATTAACATTAATTTGTCAAAAATACTTAAGCTAAATGGTCTTGAAATATATTCCGAATTTTTCATTTCATATTAATTTCTCACGATTTCTGTTCCATGTTTTGATGTTGTTTGTTTATAACGAATAGAATAATACCTCTTGCTGCCTCACTCCGAATGAAGTGGGTGGGAGTCGACTTTTTGTATAACCCATGCTTGTATTGGCTAACGTGTATCTTCATTTCTTCATGATGAAAATAAGCATACCTGCATGGATGTGGTTTCATTCGTTGGGTGTTGATGTTGGTTGAAATAGTTAAGGGGAGCTGGTCTGCGTCTCCACAGAAGATGCAGCATGAGCTCTCAATTAAATATTGTCAACAAAATTTGTACGTTTGATAATGTTTGTCAAGTACGCAAATGGTTAGTGAGTGAAAACAGACTCACACGAGTTGTGTCCCTTTCTTCAGCTACGTGTCCCTGACCTTTGTCAAAATGGTTACAGTATGCTGCAGATGGTACTGATGATGTATTGATGATGAAGTGACAAGTCACGCCACGCCATCCATCTTCAAAGACTGATTCCTATTGGTATTTAGCTGTGTTGGCCATGATGTTAAAATGATTTGTGACAATTTGATCAAATCTTTGTCATTTTAGGGTAAAATTTGATTGCTTGACAAAATTAGCAGGATTCCCTTGAAATTACTGGTGTGTACAAAATGTCATCTGGTTATTCGTCAAGTTTATTTATTTTATACTTGTTTTATTGTTTGTAATGGAACCATGTCCGATCAGTTGTTATAGTTTGTTTATGTCTTGTTGAAGGTTGTTTTGTGGGTTAGGAGAAAGAATCTGAAACACTAACTAGAATGTTTTTTCACAAACGTATGAACATTTGTATGTCTTTGTAAGGTTGACCTACGTCAGAACACTTAGGAGAAGATGGTTATGTGACTGAACGTCATTATTGATTACAAGAGTCAAAAGTCGGATACTTTACGCAATGATCCATTGTGGTCCGGTAAAGGTTTGATAAATCGTGGATCTTTTAAATTGGCCTGGTTTGACACAGACCCGACTTGATTATTTGTTGGTTTACGGATATTTTTGTGATAATTCATGGTCAGTAAGTGGGGGAAAATTTAAAAAGACCTTTCATTTCAATTTATGTCTATCAAGAAGTATTTGAATATGTTGCTAGTGTGCAGTATTTATAAAGCCAGTCTCATTGGGATTGTGGTTTAACGTCTTTGAAAAACAAAGTTTTGTGCTAAATATGTTTGAAGTCAGCTGTATAAAAACAATAGAACTTTTCAGATTTGATTTATTTTAATTTTATGTTTTTAAGGGTCATGGATCTGAAAACCAATTTGTGCAAAATAATGCTAATGCTGTAATGTCTGTCTTGGTCCGTATCATGGCAGCTGGTATGTTATGACTAGTTATGGCCAAATTTGAAACTTGGACTCACAACATTAATCGCCACAAAAGAGTAATCTTTTATCATTCAGTCAGTTATTTTTCCCCAAGTGTGGATACATAATTATTTTTGAATGACATTGTTTTGGAAGCGTGAATGATTTGAGAATACAAAGAAACACAATGTCTTGCTCATGATGACTCAACAAACAGTGCTGGCCAGTGAATTAAGTCGAAATGTCCATTGTATTTTCATTACTTGTATTGAAAATTTTCCTCAAACTAATTGCGTTTTTAGTGAATAAAACCAGTGGATCGTAACGATTGATATTAAAGCGAAGAGATAGACTTTGCACGGATTGAGTGTGAATATATTTCGGGGACAAACTTTCTTTATACCTGACTAGTTCAATGTACTCTTGTCATCATTCTGAATGGTTCGACTTTGATATAAAAAAAAACCTTGTATGAATTCTGTAAAAAACGTTCTGAAAGCTATCCCCATTTCTCGATGTGCTTTTTTGTGTTCTGTTTATCACCGCAGGTTCTCAGATATGGAGACAAGTGCAATGACATGTGAAACATTGTTACACTAAATTGTGGCAATGTTTCCAATCAAGGTACCTTTTATTGAATAAATATTGTTAGACTTTGTGACGAGAATATTTTGTTGTTTATCAAGAAACTGATATTTGTCGATAATGAAGTTTTTGTCTGCTTCAACAGAACCTCATTTATATGTTCTAATTGCACAGTTGTCTCCCCTTGCTGTGCCATGATCCGCAAGCCTGATTTCCTTGATCTTTACTTTGGTCAGTGTTAAACAATATGCCTGTGTTGTCGCTGGACCTTTCTTCCACATTCATATATGACGAAAATGAAACGGTGCTAAGACCAACTTGATCATCCCTTTCTAAAGAGTGTTCTAAATAAGTGTGCCTTCTGTACATGTTTCTCTATCGTCCTGGGTTTGAATAGTACCTATGCTTGTCTCCCCGTGTGGATTCTTGGTTCTCAGCAACTCATGCTTGTCACCCTATGAGACCGTGGATACAGTTCAATTGTTTATCGGAGTGATATAGCTTTTATGGCAATAGCACTTACACTCCAAAACCCTGAACTATTCAACTTGTACTCAAGTTCATGGTAAGAAATATACAATATAAAATTACGTATTGGATCATAAGAAGACACAGGAATGTCTAAGACAGTCTTTGTTTGTTTGTTGTTTAACGCCACACTCAGCAATATTCCAGCTATATGCGGCAGTCTGTTAATAATCAAGTATGGATCATGAGCAGTGATCCACTCATTTGGGACATGATGACATGCATCAACCAAGTCAGCGAGCCTGACCACCCAATCCCGCCTCTTGCGACAAGTACAGGCCCATTTTACGGCAAGCATGGGTTCCTGAAGACCTATTCTACCCTGGATCTTAGGAAGATATGCAATTAGCTAAGTGACACAGCCTGGTTGACCAACCCCCCTGTCAGAAGGCTCTCAAGACAAGCAAGATGGTTTAATCATTAGGAAATGTGATATACTGTAAGGATGTGGTGTGATGTGATAAGAGTTTTTGTTTTGAATTGACCACGAGAACTGCCAGTTGAGGTGTTAAAAGTCACCCCACGATACTGATTGTTGGGATTTGACTGCAGCCACTGGTGATTAGTGACTACCACATAAAGATTACTGATATTAGAAAAACTTTAAGGTCATGGGTGTCAGACCCATCAGAACCCATCAGAACCAGGAACACTCTCAACAAGCAGTCAGGCCTGGATGTCGACGGGACACAAGTTGTGCTGCACCAGGGCCTCTCGGTTTATGAGATCAAGGATAGCCTCGTGGGGACTCAGTATTAAACGTGGTCCTAAGCAACCTATATAAGTGGCGAGGGGCGATCAGGTAGCCTAGTGGTTAAAGCGTTCCCTCGTCATGCTGAAGACCCAGGTTCAAATCCCGACATGGGTACACTATGTGAAGCCCATTTCTGGTGTCCCCCGCCATGATATTGCTGGATTATTTCTAAAAGCGGCGTAAAATCATACTCACTATATAATAGGCGACTGAAGGACTCCGTGACTTGGTCGATGGTGTGGATCGTGCCTCACAATATCACGGTTTATCTGGTCGATTATTTACAGGTCCATCATATTGCACACACATAACAAACAACATAGATTAGATATCTAATAATTTAATGATCATCTGTGGAGCAACACCTCTCGTAGAAACACCACTTATAAAAGGTGTATTATAAGAGATAACAAGTCGATCTGCTAAGAACTAAAATAATGAAATGAATGATACAGAGACTGCTGAGAATCCTTGCACTGTTGGAGGTGTAAAGATGATGAAACATATACTGCCCAAAAGAAGCAAAGAACACCCGATTTTTTCAAAGTGTTTATAGTTAATCTGGCCTGTCATTGGGTGTTCTTTAACTTCTTTTGGGTAGCATGAATGAGAAGACTGTCTGCGGTCACCATGGTAACACTTGACATTGCTTGGGAGTGTGCACTGGGCTTATTTACAAGATGATATGAACATCCTTTATGTACATGTTCTCATTAACAGTGCAGTGTATGGACAGTTAATCTCAGACTCAGGACTAAACCAATGTTTGTCTGGGAATCCTGTAAATAAAAACTTTAATGAGGCAATTATGAGACACATGTCTGCTTTTCTGTACAACTTGATATTTCTATAAAATTCTATCTGTACAATAAAAGTTATTCAACAATGCATTACCTTAATTATTCTCAGAACACAAAACCGACACAAAATTGTAGGATAAAACATGGTTGTGTTGCCCTTGTAGGATAAAACAAATTGTATGTGTTACAATTGTAGGATAACATGTATCATTCTGTTATCCTAGGGCAATACACATATCATGGCAATGTCTCCGTATCGTTACAAACATTGTTGTATTGTATTGTTCAAGTATTGTTCCTAGGCTGAGCCAGTGTTTGTTGTTTAACGTCGCACTCAGCAATATTCCAGCTACATGACGGCGGTCTGTAAATAATCGAGTGTGGACCAGACAATCCAGTGATTGACATCATGAGCATCGTTCCACACAATTGGGATACAATGACATGCTTCAAACAAGTCAGCGAGCCTGACCACCCAATCCCTTTAGTCGCCTCTTACGACAAGCATAGTGGCCTTTTACGGCAAGCATTGGTTGATGAAGATCTATTCTACCCCTTCACGGATCCCCACCCAATGGCTACATCAGAGACATATGGAGGAGGAACAACGGCGTTACATGGTTGCCAGCCTTAATATCAGTTCTGTCATAGTGTACGTACAGTAGTAATAGACATACCTGAGAGATTGAAGGATCAGGGTGAAAAGGATTCAAACCCTCAACCAGTGGATCCTGGCAGCTAAAGGGACACAACTCTACAAAAGTTGCTATGCCAGTGTAAGACACCAGGGCCCACTTGCACAAAATGATCTTTGAGCTAAGATGATCGTAACTCCCATACTTCAACACAGGCTTACGATAGTCTGAGCGCTAAGATCGCTTCGTGCAAGTGGGCCCTGGCCCTATAAGGTGTTCAAAGCAGTACTACCATCCTAACTCTAAAGACTTACAATTGTTAAAGCAAATGCATTGCACATCAGACCAGATACAAGCTAACCATGCTTTTTGATTGTTTGTTGTTAACGCTGCACTCAAGCTATGACGGTGGCCTGTAAATAAGTGAGTCTGGACCAGACAATCCAGTGACTGATATTGTGAGTAATGACCCACAAGCCATCAACCAAGTCACCAAGCCTGACCCCTAAGTTGCCAAATCTGTGGAGGTCAAGTGTACTTAATGGTCACAAATCTACACTGTCCACAACATAATACCCTGAACATCTCTTCACCAATCTAAGAGTAACCTTAAAGAATCTCTTCTTTCATTAATGGAACAAAATTCCAACAAATGTTTTTCTTTCTATAAAAAACAATAACCAAACATAACACCTTTGTCCCTATCTATGTCAATTTAGTTCCACTAGTTCCAGCTCCTCACAACGATAGCCCGTTCGCGGAGCTCTCTATACTATCGCTACTGTGACAGGTGGTCCATAACCTTGCATGGAGTTGAACTCGCAACCGAATGACCGTTATGTTTACAAACAAGTGACGACTGTCGTGATGTCGAATACACTTGCCGCTACTAAATTACTTACTTTGTCAATTTGAATTTCTGTTATTCTGTTATTTCTGTTATTGACATAGTAAGAGGGGAAGTTAGTTGGTTTTCCATTGTCTGCAATCTCGAACCAATCTGATTACAAAAACAACAAAGTATATTCATCTAGAAAACAAGGTCAGTCGTAAACCTTTTCAAAATGAAATATGATGGCATTCCCAAAGACATAAACAAAAGTATGAACGTTACTACATTTGGGGTTAGAGGGAAAATTTCAAGATTCTTGTAATGGCCGCGCCCACACTGGTGGCAGCGATGTTACCGAGAGTGTATCGAAGGTGTCACACGCTGGGAAGGAGTTTGACACAACACATAGCAAGGGAGGTAACTTGGTTGTTACCCGTTCTTCCATAGAGTAAAGCAGATCAACTGACATGGACAACCTCACCCACATGAGTGAGTGAGTGAGTGAGTGAGTGGTTTTACGCCGATTTTAGCAATATTCCAGCAATATCATGGCCGGCGACACCAGAAATGGGCTTCACACATTGTACCCATGTCGGGAATCGAACCCTGGTCTTCGGCGTGACGAGCGAACGCTTTAACCACTAGGCTACCCGACCGCCCCTCACCCACATGAAGAGATAATCATTGTAAGTATTGGGTACAAGGGATCATTGCTACCCACATCATCCCAGTAAGAAAACAAACCAGAATAGTTAGAGTGATTTGCCATCGCTTGACCACAAGGTTGAGTCAGGAGAGTAAATATCTACTAATATTTAAGGAATCAGCTGTTTTTCAAATAGATGAAATGTTTGCATGAAATCCACTGCTAGTGTATTTTTGGACTTCCAATTAATTGTTGGTCCTTGTCAGGTTGTTTGACAGGTTGCTGCATAGCTCCAGGTGCAAGTTGTGCTTTAATAAATCTGCAACAAATATACTGAAATATCTCAATTGTTACTGAGACTCTCAAGACTAGCTACACGGCATAATGTTTATTCCAATCAGTCACAAATAATTTTCAACATAATTACACTGGGTTCTTTGGTTTTAAGTACTTTAAAAAAATAATTTACACAGCAAATCGCGTCGCCTTAGACGCCTGGGCCTTGCCCCCCCTTAATTTTTAAATAATCCTGGTTCAGTATAACTGGGCAAGGAAACAGATTAGTCTCCCCTGAATACAGTACTGCCTGTCCTGCTACTGTTTTACGGTCTTGGGGTCCTTGTGTCCTTAAGTTATTCACCTAGGGTATAAGATCATGACAGGGACGACTTACATGCTTAATTCCAAACAATGTGAGTTGATGTTGTTTTACACAAGTCAGCAATATTGCAGCCATATCACAGAGGCCTGAAAATAACTAACCCAGTGACTGAAAGTAAGACAACAATCCACAGCCAAGTGAGTGAGTATGGTTTTATGCCGCTTTAAGCAAATATTCCAGCAATATCACGGCGGGGAACACCAGAAATGGGCTTCATACATTGTACCCATGTCGGGAATCGAACCCGGGTCTTTGGCATGACGAGCGAACGCTTTAACCACTAGGCTACCCGACGTCCCCTTCACAGCCAAGACTCCGAGCCTGACCATTACAGTTGGTTGGGGCCTACAACAGATCTGGAATCCAGTGGTTGATGGGGGTGGCAAACATTCCTCCATCAAGGGGAAGGGTTCCCTGGTAACAGCTGCTCCCAGACTGGGTACACTCTATGGATTAAAAAAAAGAAGTGTTTCCCTCTTCCCTGGTGTGTTCCAAATCCACGACAACCTCTTCAAATTATTTTTTTAACCTAGTTTGCATTTTGTTTGTGTGCTTGTTTATGGTTACAGGATATATTATTTAAATTATTTATTTACCTACCAGTCATTGTGGACATCCAATTCCTATGTTGATAACTATGTTGATAACCATTTTCCCCATGTTGATAACCATTTTCCCCATGTTGATAACCATTTTCCACATGTTGATAATCATTTTTCCCTGTTGGTAACCATTTTCCTATACTGATAACCATTTCCCCCAATGTTGATAACCATTTTTCCCTGTTGGTAACCATTTTCTCCATGTAGATAACCATTTTCCCTATATTGACCATATTGTAAGGGTCTTCAAACTCCCCAAAAGGGGTCAACATTGAGATATTCTTTCCTCTGCATGTAGAGGTTTAAAGCCATATCACAAGATTTAACAAGACAACATTTCAGAATTAGTCCATGGACATTGAGCAAAATTACTGGCTGCTCAGGCGACTGTACCATATCGGATTTTGCTGGTGATGCGATAAATCACAAAGTATACTACTCAACTTTTGATAGGGATACCAAGCTATTTCATCTGTTACAAAACTCGAAACAGCAGCTAACGGGAAGGCAGTGTTCCTTCTGGTGGCGCTACGATGGAGCCTGGAAATTCCAGCCTAATTCGGCAAGGGTGGAAACTGAGACTTTTATAGTCAGTTAATGCCCTTGCCTCGGGAAGATGGGATGATTACTTACAGAGTCAAAAGACAACTACCAGTGCCTACTATGATGATTTGCTTCATTGCCTGAGAGATTCTATCAAAGAAAAGCGTCGAGGATGCTGAAGTTCTACTGCTTCATGACAATACCTCTTCTCACACCTCTCGACTTGCAAAGGCTGCTGTGTGACAATGTGGGTTCTAAGAGCTTCCTCACCCTCCAGACCTGGCACCAAGTGATTGCCACCTGTTTCCTAAACTTAATGAACACATTCGTTGAAAGCACTATGACGACAACGATGACCTCAAAGCTGCCCTGAATGGGGTTTTCAGGGTGGCTTCAGAAAATTTCTTCCTGACTGGAATTGAAATTAATGAAAAGCTTCACTATTGATATGAGAAGTGTATTGAAAAGCAGGGAGATTATGTTGAAAAATAAGATTAAAAACACTTTCACTTTTGTTGGTTTTGTTTGTTAGGCTTAGAACTTTTTGACCAGCCCTCGTATTCCCATCAGATTTAGTTTGATTTCTGTCAGTTCTATAACCTGGCTCACTGATCATAAACAAGGGGCACTGCAGTTACCAAAAAGAAAAGTTCATTAAAATTAAAATACAATTGACACCAAAGCAGGCGATAACAACTAATCGTTATATTTTATTTACCGGACAAGATATACTGTAAACAAATACAAACTATTCCTTCAGTCAGACATCTTATTCCCATTTAAAACCTATACACTACCAGGAGTTCAAACTTATTCTCAGGTGTAATACCTGGACATCGGGTAAAAAAGCATATACGACCAGCGAAAACAAAAATAAAGTCATATTTTTATCGCTGCTTAAAATGTCAAGTAGGCGAATCCATGATCCAAGTCTTGAAAAAGAGTTTCAGCTTCCAAGGAACCAATTCTTCTTTACCGTTTTACATATGGACCATTAATATTAGATGTAGCACTAGTATTCCAAGCTCCCATGGGATAGGATGCCAAGTGTCAGTGATCATGATCAAGGACATCCTAAGGAGAAGTAGCAATGTACTGTCAGCTACCTCGTCTCTCAATCACACGGTCCTGATTTCAGTCAACATATTTCAGAGTTGCTCAGAAAAACAATCAGATTTAAACAAAAAAAAGTCCTGTTAATTCAGGACAAATAAAACGAACACAGCTTGGCCCAACAAGCACTGAAAACCATATTGACCGGAAATGACAATGGTGCTGGAAGAATTGTAGACAGATGATAATGAATGATATATTGCCACTCGCCATCAGTTGATTAACCCTCTCTGTCTTTGCCCTGCAGTTTTGGAGTCCCGAGGTGAAGGGTTGACACACAGTCTTGTATCACACACCCACATAGTGCTGCTTTATGTTATTAACCATCACACCTTTGACCTGCAGTAATAGTCAGTGGTCACAGGGTTAATACTTGGTAGATATAGTCTCGTATCACACGTCATGTGTGTTTCATGTGTGTTACGTCCTCTCCTTCTTTTTGATTGGTCGTTTGCTCATGTGTTTGTTGATGATTTCCTGTATGCGAGGTTTGTGTTCAAGAATCTTCAGCATGGATGATCGTGCCTCTTCCAGCTGGTCGCCAATTAGCTGGCATCTCTGGATGTTGGCCTGGATCACAAAAGCACAGGTTTCAGAAAGTCTAGGATTTCATGGAAATATGAACAGATTTAATATAAATGTTAGCCAAATGAGGAATGTCCTGAACGTTCACAACCAATGAGCATTATTAACAGTGCCGACAAAACAAGATGATAATTTGGGATTTAAACTCAGGATGAAGCTGATCCGAACAGCAGAGGTTTGTGTTTGTTTGTTTGTTTGTTTGTTTGTTGTTTAACGCTGCACTCAGCAATATTCCAGCTATATCCTCCTACAACAGGTATAAGATGCTGGGACCTATTCTAACAAAGAATCCCCAAAGGGGCACCATAAGCACAGGTAAAAAGGAGCTTTGAAGAGGTTGGTTCCATGTTTGTCTGTAAGGCGGAACTGGATTCATTACCTGTGAGAGTTCATGAATGATGCCATCATAGTCTTCCACAATTGCTTGTTTGGCAGGTGCCCTTGGCGCCAGGGCTGCCTGGAGCTGGCTGATGCGGGCACACATGTCCTTCTCCAGGTCATTCTGCACAAACACAGCAACATTTGAATCACAGGGTCAATACAAATCAAAACACCACAATGAAACAGTAGTTTTAGTAATTGTCATTACTTGTAACCATGACCTTTGTTCAGGGTCTTGCTATCTAGCTGTGAAGGTAAGACAAGAACTCACCTCGTTTTCTAGTAGTGATGCCATGTGTGCGAGACAAGAACTCACCAGGTTTTCTAGCTGCGATGCCATGTGTGCGAGACAAGAACTCACCAGGTTTTCTAGCTGCGATGCCATGTGAGCAAGACAAGAACTCACCAGGTTTTCTAGCTGCAATGCCATGTGTGCGAGACAAGAACTCACCAGGTTTTCTAGCTGCGATGCCATGTGTGCAAGACAAGAACTCACCAGGTTTCTAGCTGCGATGCCATGTGTGCAAGACAAGAACTCACCAGGTTTCTAGCTGCGATGCCATGTGTGCAAGACAAGAACTCACCAGGTTTTCTAGCTGCGATGCCATGTGGTAGAGTTTCCAGCCACTGGATCTCTGGTGAATGCCTCTCTGGTTGGACAACTCGTTTACTGTGGGCCGCCTCTCCTCTGAAATACACAAGTATGACGATGGATGAGGATGGATTATGAAAAGTCATGCTCAGAGATCAATCATTTTGAACAGATACTTCTTTCATTGTAATGTCCTTATATCCCTCTCAAGTTACCTGTAGACAGGCTACCAAACTGTGGTGCTGCTGGGTCACCACAAATGAATTAAAACGGCGCACTCAGCAATATTTCAGCTATATGACGGCTGTCTGTATATAATCGAGTCAGGACCAGACAATCCTGTGATTGACATCATGAGCATCGATCCACCCAATTGGGATACATTGACATGTATTAACAAAGTCAGCGAGCCTGACCACCAAATCCTGTTAGTGACAGTCACCTCTTATGACAAACATAGTCGCCTCCCGGTTGAGTGAAGAGGAGCGACAAGATTTGTGTTGATTTCTATATCCCAATAAAGAATCAACTTTGATGTACTAGTCTTGGATGTGATGGGGAAACAGACTCTTACCTTTAGGTTTAACATCTGTAAATCTCTGAAAGTGATTATTCTTCGGTTTCCACGTGATATTGTAGAAATTAAGAAGATTAATGTTCGGTCTTTTTTTCTCTGATGTCCACCGCACCCCATCGTCGTCAACAAACTCTGAAAGGTGAAAGGAGAAGCTTGATACAGAGTGCCCAATATCTGTTACAATCATCACCCCATTACAATACGCCAGAACATTGAAGAAGGCCTGTTAAGTCTGATTTTCATGACCGAAATATCCATCTTAATTATACATTATGATTTTAATCTTCAAAAAACAAAATAACACGACTTTGTTAATAATATCATGAGATCGAAGTGCTTGAAAAATGAACCTGACCCAAAGACCCATTAAGTTATTTCTAAATTAGATAATTCATTTGTGCTCTGGCTGCCATGAAAATAACAGGTGGCAGGTTGCCACCAAATTAAATCAAGCTTTGATTGGTTGTTGGTTGGTTGGTTGTTTAACACCGCACTCAGCAATATTCCAGCTATATGTTGGTGGTCTGTAAATAATCGATTCTGGACCAGACAATCCAGTGATTTATATCATGAGCATCGATCCACGCAATTGGGATCGATGACATGCATCAACCAAGTCAGCGAGTCTGACCACCCGATCCCGTTAGTCGCTTTGAGGCAAACCCAGTGAGCAACATTCAGTGAGATTGCCCATTGCCATAAAATACAATATCAATTTAGGGCAGAAAACTTGTTGCCAGAATTTACACTTATTAATTATTCTGTAGAAAAAGGAAGTTCATCATCGATGAAACACAGCTAAATGTGAACTATTTTGATTAAACAGTACTAAACGTCACATCAACAATGAACCACCTCAGTATTTAAACACAGAAAAGGTTTATCTCCATTCTACAATGACTAACATGCATTTCTAAAAAAGCGACTCTTTTTCCACAGTGCAGTGATGTGGTCAGAAGTGGTTATCGCTCATTAACCACTTCAAATTTAGGCAAATTAACCCATGAAAATGAGCTCATCGTTCAATGTCATGGTAGAATGACTACTATAAGTATAAGAGAAGCAGAACAAGCTTTCACCATCTCTCTGTTCTTCCTTGATTTCCTTGGGCTTGATGTCTTTATGGCCGCTGACCTTCTCAACTTCCTCGTCCGTGGACGTGTTGTCCTTCAGCTCTTCTGTTGCATTCCTGTGCAGAGAATGCTATGTTTTCAACAGTGACATGGACGGTTTACACTCTGTATGTCTAGGAGGTCACGCTATCTTAAACAGGCCATCTAATCTTGGTCATAAATGTCACATTTGATGCACTCTGGGCGGTCAGGTAGTCTAGTGGTTAAAGCGTTCGCTCGTCACACTGAAGCCCCGGGTTTGATTCCCGACATGGGTACAATGTGTGAAACCCATTTCTGGTGTCCCCCGCCGTGATATGGCTGGAATATTGCTAAAAACGGCGTAAACCCACACTCACTAGAAGCTAAACAGTGTGGACACCTTAATCAACCTTATGCAGGACTTTGGAATCCATTAATAGTAAATATACACAAGTACAGTGGACTGTCTAAACAATCATCAAGCAGGACCGGGAAAAACTGTGTACTCAGATTAATAAAGAGAGCTGGAGTATTCAGGTGCCGGCTTGTAGCATGTCCCCGATTACTCAGATGCCAGTTGAGATGGACTCTACTACAACTGGAGGACTCCATGAACTGCCAAAAATGTTAAAAGTACATGGTATTTGATGAAACAGTGAGCCCTATTCTATCTGTATAATGGCACCCTGTAAAATAGCTGAGTCAGGCAAATTGTGATAGGTCCACACAGTTAGGTCTCCATTATTAAAGTAAGCTCCCACAACAAGCATGCAGTACTAGGAAACTATTCTGATGTCGAACATGTCATCTCAGAACGAAATCATCCCATGAAACAAAATGTTGATAAGATAAGATAAGCAATAAGTATATGTCAGGACATGGTCAATCGGAAATAAGATAAGATAAGCAATAAGTATGAGTCAGGATAAGGTCAATCGGAAATAAGATGAGATAAGCAATAAGTATGAGTCAGGATAAGGTAAAATAACGAAGTTCCAACTGACAAAGTTGATTGTAAAAGTTGCCCACTGACAATTCTCTCACTGTAGAAAAAAAATCCTGTTTGTGATACATTGCACTGATGATCTATTTGCACCAGAATATCAAGGAGAAATTGACATCATGAGCATCAATTCACGCAACTGTGATACGATGAGATGCATCAACCCGATCCCGTTAGTCGCCTCTTACGACAAGCATAGTCGCCTTTTACAGTTAGCATGGGCTGCTGAAGACCTATTCTACCCTGTATCTTCACAGGTCAATAATGTTGATGATACTGTTGATGATAATGTTGATGATACTGTTGATGATAATGCTGATGATACTGTTGATGATAATGTTGATGATACTGTGAATAATGTAGATGCCCATCATGCTTACAGTAACTGTTTTCTTGGTTTCTTCCTGGGCGACGCCTCCAGGGAGTTGCTGACAGGGGATGATGCAAGGCTGTTGAGAGATGATGGACCTGTGGAACATGGAAGGTAGCACTAACTATAGGTAATCATGCAAGGACATCATTGTCATAAATATATGTCAGCTGTCTCTGTGTTTGAATGAATGTTGTTAAACGCAGCAGTCGTAGCAGCAATACAGAGCTACAGATAAGCTGTGTATTTGCGTAAAATACTCCCAAAAAATATTCGAAACCCAATTACTGTCAATCATCTTGCGTAAAGAAACGCATGCATTAAGTGAAAAACTCAAATGTATAAAAACAGCACGCGTAAATACCCAATGAAGCTTTTTTAGCATGCGTACAACGAAGCTAATTTCCGAAACACAATTATGAGTTAATTTACTTTCAGAGTCAAGTCTATATATTTAGAACAGTTATATACATCTAAAACATTATTTCATTTTTTTTAAATCTTAAAATGTTCACTAATTTTGGGAAAAAAACAATAGAGTGATGAATGGATGAGTGAAACAATATTGGTTACCCAATAAAAAATGTGATAACCCAATTAAAATAGAAACCCTAGAGTAAAAACTCTATTGCTCAAAAAGTACTCTGGAGTTCTGGCAATAATCTTAACATACAACAATGACCTTGTCCCATGTATTGTTGTTTGTTTGAAGAGTAACGCTGCCTTCAAAAAAATATTCCAGCTTTATGATGGCGGTCTGTAAAAATTTGTGCCTGGAGTAGACATCATGAGTATGAATCCGTGCAATTGGGATACGATGACGTCCATCGGCCAAGTCAGTGAGTCTGACCACCCAATGCCATTCGTGGCCTCTTATGACAAGCATAGAATGCTGGAGACATATCATATATCTTACCCGGAATCCCAGCATGTTCAAAATACTGATTTGTTTGTTTGTTGTTTCATGTCGTACTCAGCAATATTCCATCTATGTGACATCATGACCAACGATCTACACAATCTGGGATACGATGACATGCATCAACCAAGTCAGAGAGCCTGACCACCCGATCCCATTAGTCACCTCTTATGATAAGCATGTGCCTATTTTGAAGTTCTGCAATAAATACTAACTTTGTAATAATAACAGTTAAATTGAAAAATGCACTTTTTGAATAAAAAATACAGCATATTTCAGTATCCAAAACATCCTACATAGTAGAGGAATATGTCAGGGGAAGTAACTCTTTGATGTCCAGCACCAAACCTTCATTTCACCTGCCAAGTTCATCCAACAACAAATTTATTCTTAATTCAAAACCAGGTAAAAAAAACCACATAAACCAAGATACGGGTAAAGAAGCAAACGAGTTACCATTTTCCATAGCATCTGGCGGTTCCTGCTTGATCTTGACATCTAGATGCGAGTTCTGCGTGGGCGTCGTCGCATCGTTGGATGACAAGGCAGTGTCTGTTGAGGACTGACTGTTGTTGTCACTGCAACAAACACATTACTTTATAAGTATTTAGTGACGAAATACTAGATTGATCTGAAAATACAAAATCAGTATTCCATTGAATAAACAACCCTGAATGATATGACAACTTTCAGTCTGCCTCCATGACACTGAGGGATTTATCTAGACCTGTTCAGTGGCCAATGCTGCGAAAGAAATTAACTGTTTTAATCAACAAGTTTGGCAAGTACTACAGGACTAGTGCCAATTTCTAATGCTGCTATGTATGGCCCCAAGTCTACAGCAATTGTCAGTAAAAATTCCCAAATGGGAATTAAAAAGTTCCTTTGTCATTTAAACATAGTTATCAGGGTTAGAAATTGGCACTAGTCCTATAGTCCTTGCCAAACTGCCCAATGGTAAAGGTATCATAAGGACTAGTAGAAAATTGCCATTTTAAAGGGTTTTGCTACGTGTTATCATTATAAGGACTAGTGGACATAAACTGTTAGTTTCTAACGCTGAGTTATAACTAATGAACTCAACCCACAAAAGGTTTGAAATTTGTACTTTACTAAGAAAGTGTAATCCAAAATACAATGTTTCATTAAAAGCTTCATATTGACAAAGATATCTCTTGCTCTCAGGCACATGAGTCACTTAGTATGCTGACTCTGAGCCGACCAGTCCATAATGCTGAGTGCCAGGCAGGGTAACAACAAGTACCATCTCTTAACATACTTCAGTAAGGCGCCGCCAGGTCTGTTGTTTGATGACCGGTACCAGGCCGAGTATGGCTGCTAGAGGAACTTACCCCGCTGGAGTCTTTGGAGAGCTTGTATTGGACTGAGGCTGAGAGGGTTCGGGTCTCGGGCTGTGATTGTCTGGCATCAAGCCAATCGGTCGCTTCACAACAACGCCAGCACTGAGAACACATACACAAACCAATGACAAATAGAAATACAATTTCTTGAACAAGTTTTTATTTCAGATAAGCCTAAAAAACTTACAGGGAACATAATTGCTGGTTCTAACAGGGTTTTGCCTTGACTTACAAAACCGCCAATAATTAATTCTGAAGGGTCCTTACAGGAAACAGGAGGGTCTTACACAGTAACAAAGTGGTGTAGTGTACTGTACTATAAGACTGATAATTACTTTAATTACTGTATATGTCCACAGATAAGCCAAATTTTGAGGACCAGAAAAAAGATTCTGCAGAAATGGGTCGGTTTATCCCAGGGATACACTTTCATGATAGTATTTTTCAGATCGTGATCTGTCAGAAACATCGCCTGAATGACGGTCCGATAGATTACAAGGCATTTATATTTCTTGTCAAGAATTTAATGCAGATCCTGAGGGACGCACCATGTACTTTTTCTCTGCATCCGTTCTATACATTTGTGAGAACTTCACGCACATTTCTGCGTCATGTAAAACCCTGTTCTCAGTTACCAAAGCAATTATCAAAGACGCACAGAATGAAGTTTTACATATAAAAAACATAAATGGTACCAATTTCCAACAATTTCCAAAAAAATCAAAAACCTGAGAACCAGTAATTTCTAAAAAAGGATCTGATATCTTACCCCTCGCTGGTTCGTTTTCTGAGAATACTTGGGCGCGGCGAGGCACTGGGGTTGTTGATGGAGGACGACTGTGTCTGCATGTTGGGGGAGCTGGTGTAGATGCTGCTGGCGACCGTAGCTGCAGTGGACAGACTCATGTTGTGGCTGGCGTCGTGCATGGAGGCGGGGGGCGGGGTCCGACACAGCGTGGCTGAGATTGCTGCACACACAAACAGGGGCTCATGACAAACACGTACTTGAGTCGGAGTTTGGTAATGACAAACGGGTACTTGAGTGCAAGTTGGGTAATGACAAACGGGTATTTGAGTGCATTTATTCTACCCAACAGCCCTATTAGAAACACAAGACAAAGTCCTCCTCCTCACCAGAGGGCATAATCATCTCAACCGTGTCTATGTTTTACAACTTCTAAGTCAAACAATCCTGAAGAAAAAAAGTTAGGGATCATGCATATTTTTCGGACTATTTTTATGAAATTGTGTGCTACACTACACCTGTCGTGACTACAAATATATACCCTCAAAAATATTCACAATCCTTACCCTTTTTGTTCAGTATACAGAAATTCCAGCACTGCAACTATGACACTTATTGAGCTTTGAAATTGTCATTGGTATATTGTCATGGTACCATAACAAAATGCACTGCACAGATAGTGTGATCATGAAAGATCTCCAATATATCCCCGTGTTATGGGTTTTCGGACGCTTAAAAGACATTCGTAATTTTCTCACTAATCACAAGAACTACTGTAAAAACATCTCCATCTTTTAGGCTAAAAAAAATAATCTTTGTTCGGTTCTCAGGCATCGCCTGCTTCAGCACAAAGTCCGCTGCATGTTTTGTTTTTATTTCCATTTTTAAAAAATAAATTGCCTGAGAACCATTTCTTTTATTTTATGAAGCCTTATAAAAGACAACATTATCTTAAAAACAAGCCTTTATCTGAGTATTTACAATGTCTGTGTGCTGCCAAAACCCTCGTTACAGCCGGAATACTCGCGATAAACATGGCCATCCAATGTGTATGATGTCCAGAACATATGAACCGATGATAATTGTAAATATCTCACTTGGTTTACTGTCTTGTTGAGGTAGAGAAGCCCCACTGGTGATGGCGGCGGCAGCGGCTGCCGTAGTGGCAAACTGGGTGTGCATGGTGGACATGGGATGGCGCGGGTCCACTTGCACCATCATGGAGTTGGTGAACCTCAGAGTCTGGGTCTGACCCATCGTCATACCGTGAGCCTGAAGCGTCGCGGCCAGGTTCGGGTTCTGGCTTGGAACTGCAACACACACAAATGTTACCCTGTAAGGCTGTTCTAGTACCAACATTCATATTGTTACGCTGTATGGCTGTTCTAATACCAACATTCATATTGTTACCCTGTATGGCTGTTCTAAAACCAACATTCATATTGTTACGCTGTAAGGCTGTTCTAAAACCAACATTCATATTGTTACCCTGTATGGCTGTTCTAAAACCAACATTCATATTGTTACCCTGTAAGGCTGTTCTAATACCAACATTCCTTTTGTTACCCTGCATGGCTGTTCTAAAACCAACATTCATATTGTTACCCTGTATGGCTGTTCTAAAACCAACATTCATATTGTTACGCTGTAAGGCTGTTCTAATACCAACATTCCTTTTGTTACCCTGCATGGCTGTTCTAAAACCAACATTCATATTGTTACCCTGTAAGGCTGTTCTAATACCAACATTCCTTTTGTTACCCTGCATGGCTGTTCTAAAACCAACATTCATATTGTTACCCTGTAAGGCTGTTCTAATACCAACATTGATATTGTTACCCTGCATGGCTGTTCTAAAACCAACATTCCTATTGTTACCCTGCATGGCTGTTCTAGTACCAACATTCCTATTGTTACCCTGCATGGCTGTTCTAGTACCAACATTCATATTGTGAAGAATGGTTGATGTTATAGTTTGCGACGTCAGGGCTAGACACCACTGGTCATATACAACTAGTACACAGTTCATTTCGGACTAGTGCTTGATGTAAAATAACTAGGTTTTGCTGATTGATTGATTCCGGATGAATACCATATTCGACGTTCGAAAATTATTGCACTTATATAGCGACGTGCATGTGTGTGTGTGGCTGCTTGTACTAGTCCGGACGGATGACGATTTATAGTGCTAGCTCACTGAGATACCATGCCGCAGTTTAACATGAATACCCCACTCAGACACAATATACTGACTCTGAGCCGACCAGTCCTTGTTTTAGCCCCTTAATGCCGAGTGCCAGACAGGGTAACAACAAGTACAATCTTTTAACGTCTTTTTGTATGACGCTGCCAGGGATCGAACCCTGGACCTTCCGCTCTCTGGGCGGACGCTCTACCACTAGACCACGGAGGCAGTCCTTATTACATCGAATACGGTAAGTAAAATAAAACAATCTAACTACACCATGTACAAAACAAAATGTAACTGGTTTTCTCTTACAGATGTAGGTGTAACTATAAAATATTTAAAAACAAGGCCAAAAGTGAGCGTGGCTCACTATAACCCCGACCCGCCTAGTGTGTCAGTAGTTTCAAATTAAATAGCTAGGATAAAAGGTCGGGGGTATAATAAGAAAGTGAATAAAAATATTTTCAACTAAACAAATCTACCAAACCAACTATGAGACAAAGGGAAAAAATAATATTTCGTTACACATATTTATCATAATATTATTTCAACCAACCCAAGCTTGTGATATAAGTAGACAATCAGTGATAGAAACTAACAGTTTTAGTCCATTAGTCCTTATAATGATAACATATGGCAAAGCCCTTAAAAAGGGCAAATGTCTCCTTGTCCTTATGATACCTTAACCATTGGGCAGTTTGGCAAGGACAACAAGACCAGTGCCAATTTTTAACGCAGGGTAGCAAAAACAACCACAAAACAATAAAATCAAAAACGACCTGAGGATATCTACCTGACTGTTCCACCTGCGGTCGGGGGAAGATGAGTGTTCCGGGGCCCGGTCTGACTGGGGTGGTGGTGGGGGTGGTGATGGGGGTGGAGAGGGGGTTCTGTGCTGCCTGTGCTGCCACCTGTTGGTACACGAGCTGCTGGTACTGCAGCGGGTAGCTCTGCCACAGGTCAGTCTGGGAGAACAGGTGGGGCAGCTGGGGGATATTGCCCACTGTCCGGCTGAAACAGAGCAGTCAATGGTAAGGATAGAACACCATGAAGGCTCAGTATTTCCTCATGGATTTGTTGGTTTGTAATTAAGCATAAGTCAGCACTATTTAAGCTGTGTAACAGACCAAGCGAGCCATTTATTGGTATCATTTGCAGTGTTCCATGTCGTTGGGGTACAATGAAACATAATCAGCCTGTGACCGACTGACTGACTATCCGATCCACCTTGTCATCTTTTAGGACAAGAATGGGTTACAGGTGTGTTTTTTTAACGACCTACTCAACAATGAGTATGAACCCATATACTTGAGATACGTTGACATATATCAGTCAACAAGTGTGACCACCCAATCCCGTCAGCTGGGAAACAAATACATAATGAATTCAGTGCAGTAAACTCACTCACTTTAACCACATACTATCTCAGTGTCTGCTCTGGCTTGAATTTTCTAGGATCACTTGGACCCCTTCATCATAAAATTAGGGGTCCCAAACAAAAATGGAGAGGTCCAATTTACAGCTTTATAACATAGCATTAACAACAGAACACAGCGGTTGTGAAAAAATCAGAAATCTTTTCGTAACTGCAAAATATCAACAAACAGGCAACTTGAGAGAAAGGTTCACATCAGGGTACATCCAGCTCTCATGACCAAGAGGTTTGCATTAAGGGACAAACAATTTCTTAAAATGGAAATTTGATATTAATGAATATTTTAACACAAAATTATCCATGTTAATGTCTAACTTCGTTAATGAAAAGGCCGTATACGGGTTATCAGCCATTGGTAAGGGGTCATAGGGACAGACATTTGTGAATGTTTTTACCTAGATCTACCAATGATTTGAAGTTAATGGATTCAGTCAAGTTCAATGGCTGTTCTGATGCTACTGTACTGAGAAGTGACTTCATGTCTTAACTGTGACAATTACATCAATGAGTCATGACATAATTGGCATATCAAACGTTTTTTTAGTAAGAGTGGGTTCAGGATCCAGCATTTCCTTGATAAATCTGGTCAAAATGTTTCAGGTGCTATAAATGTTTAAACATGTCAGTTACACTGATAACTGTTCTGGCAAAATCTGTTTTGCAATTCTTAATATAACTCACCAAAGAATGAATTATTAACAGCTGGACAAGTCTGTTGTAGAATAACTAAATATTCAGAGTCTGTTAGATAAAAACAATGCTTACAGTCAAGTGTTCGCATTTATTCCTTATCATATACAGTGTCAAGGTATTGATAAATCTCGTAATCCACACACCCTGTCGACTGTTAACTTATACAAATCTAAGGTTGATATATTTCATGGCATGATCGAATACAGGACTCGTTGCTCTATGTCACGGCTACTTGCAGGTATACACGCGTTAACTTTTTTTATGATAGTTTCTGGGATGTTTTTGAAGTGGAATTACCCCTACCTCCATTCCAAATGGATTAGAAAAGAACCCATTTGTTCAGACGAAGTCCCTTGACCCAACCTCAGTCGTATGCATACTGATTATGCAAAATACAAAACAGGAAGTGATGTAAACCACATAATCCACACAGCCTTACTGCGGTAAGATTCACTTATGAAAGGTGCTTTGTTTACCGAACTCAGTCAAGAAAATCAGCATCGATCAATCCTAATTTATGTGTCATAAAAGTTGAACAAAGAACAAGAAACATTTTGCGTATCACATATTTAATAAGTTTGTAAGTGTGCCCCATTACGATCCATTATAAATTAACTACTGCAATAATATAGCGTACCATCCTACACGGTCACTTGATCCCGCCGGTCACTATTACCACGTGTCTGAAGTATACCCTTGATCTGCCTGGATATTTCTAGTTTGACATGAGGTCATGATGTTTTCGACCAATCACCAAGCTAAAAGAATTATGAATGTATCCGAGCGGCTTAATATGCGGCACCTGATTGGCTGAAGCAAACCTACAGACCATAGAGAACATGGCCATTTGATATGAAATTAATAATAGTCCAGTCACTGGGTCCACGAGACCCACACATGATACGCAGGTGCGTTCAAACTCATATTTGTGCGTCCAAGACGCAGAAACGCGCTCTTCAGACAACACTGTTAGCTGATCCTCAAAACCAATAGCTCTTTAATTGTCACTGTTCCATTCAGGAAGGATTCTCAACAACGAAGACTGTAGCGAGAGATTCACCCAACGAAGGCAGTGTAGAGAGACCCATGAAAGATCTGGGGTAGAATAGGTCTTCAGCAACCCATGCTTGCCCTAAAAGGCGACTATGCCTGTCGTAAGAGGCGACTAACGGGATCGGGTGGTCAGGCTTGCTGACTTGGTTGATGTCATCGTATCCCAATTGTGGATCACTGGATTGTCTGGTCCAGACTCAATTATTTACAGACCGCCGTCACATAGCTGGAATATTGCTGAGTGCGGCGTTAAACAACAAACAAACCAAATTCCCCCAACTCAGGCTGTAAAGAGACTTACTTCTCAAGCCGCGAGTCCTGTTGCTGTGGTGTTGAAGAAGGTGCTGCTACTGCTGTCGTGATTGGTGCAGTGGTTGCTGGGATACGATGAGTCTGTGGAATGAAGAGTCCCCCAGCTGGCTGCCCGTGGGGGTGGGTGGATGATGATGTTGGGGCCTCTGTTCGACTAAGATCTTGGGCTGATGACGACTGGGACACACTGTTGGGCTGTGGGATGGTTTGTTGCTGTCGTTGAGGGGTTACTTTGGCTGTAAGCAGGACAGGTATGAAGGCTCTTAAACAACTTCATGTGCAGATTCAACCACAAATTGACCATTCGTTCGTGAGAAAAATAATAATTTAATTGATCTTGACAAATTAGTGGCAATACTTCAAGGATTGCAAATGCCACATTCCTCAATCACTTATGTATGAATTCGGTTGTTATTGTTAACCAACAAGAGGGATGCAAGCAAGTAAACTGGCTAATAATGAGTTGGGTTTAGTGCCGCTTTTAACAGTATAATACTATTCCAGTTATAACACGGCGTGTCAGCTTAATGTGGGAGGAAAGCCCAAAGTGATGCAGGTCTCAGACATTTACCACTTTGGTGAAACCCACGAGCACGGGTATGGTGCTGACAAACCTAGAAACATAATCAGGTCGAAACTGGATTCGAACCCACTATCTAGGTTTCTGAAGTGTCCAAGGGACACAACTCTGCACAGCGAATTGAGGCTCCTTAAACGACTGAGCCATTGTTCATGCACTGAACTCCATCAGACCAATCAATTAATTTTCCAAACAAATAATGTATACAAAGCAAAAACATTATCAAGACCCTCCTTAGAGGTGACCCACCTATAGGTATTGTTGAAGGTGTTGACGCCACAGTTGTAGTGGTTGTGATGGAGCCGGGCGTGAGGGGCATGGCACTGGCTGACGATATGTGGCCTGTCATTGACAGACTCACTGAAACAATAGCAATACACCTCTGATCACCATTATCATTTGACTGGAGCTGGTTCAGGGATTTATCTAGGATTTCAAACCAAGTGGCAGGTAAATAGGGAAAACAGGCCCCACGAGTTCGTCTGAAGGACATTTCCTTGATGGCATGACTACTGTATTCGACGTAATAAGCGCCCAGGGCGCTCTCAAAATTAGAAATAGGGGGCTCTTATTAGAATATTATTTTGGTGGAAAAAAACAGAGTTGAAAGATAAATTTTGTGGTTTATGCTGACAGCCTGAAATGTTTATACACGACAGATATACTTTTCCAGAATTTAATTGCCCATAATTAAGGGTGCATATAACACACGAGTGCGTATTATACACGAATAAATAAGTCTTGTGTACATTGATCAATTGGAAGGGGTGCTAATTGGGATTGTTCACTAGCCAAATTATTAACAAATATCGCCGTGGGCGCTTATTAGAGCGGGGCGCTTATTACGTCGAATACGGTATGCTGTATTTCGAAGCGTGTTGTGGCAGGTAAACTGGGAAAACATCTGTACCTTTTTTCAAATTGGCGATATGTCTAACAAAAATCTTATTGTCTATGCAATAATGTAAGACAATCAATACATGATCTCCCTCTTGATTGTCCTGTTGACAGTGCAACACAAGTCACCTTGACCAAGTTATCACACAAGTTTTCCTCTAACAGCAGGTTGGGGAAATTGGTAATTTCCAATTGGGAATCTGTAGTGACATTTGCTGCAGACCATTGGGCCTCTAGACCTCTGAGCTTGTCAAGATACATTCCTGTAATACCATAACTCCATAAACACAACAAAATAAACAGTGTTAGAAATCAATTTTCCTTTTCGTTAGTTCATAAAACTGATCTGCTGCAGAGTTGCCATTTGTAGAGAGTGAGTGAGTGAGTTGGGTTTAACGCCGCTTTTAACAGTATTCCAGTTATATCACGGCGTGTCAGCTTCATGTGGGAGGAAAGCCCCAAGTGATGCAGGTCTCGGACGTTTACCACTTCGGTGAAACCCACGAGCACGGGTATCGGGGCGAACCGGGATTCAAACCCACAATCATAGGTTTCTGGCTTGCCCAAGGGACGCAACTCTGCACAGCGAACCGCGGCGCCTTAGACGACTGGGCCACCCGTGCCCCCTTGCCATTTGTAAAATGGTAAAAGTGGTTGTCCAGTGGAAATGTCACCAGACAGGGTTTTACCTTGACTTACGAAAGTCCCATCTCAACAATTGTGCATATTGGACTGACATATGTGTGTCATGTAAACGTTTAGTTAATTTTGAACCCTATTGTCATGTCAAAATATAGTTTATACCTTTAAAACGTTTTGAAAACCTTTACTTCTAATATTTCAGGAGCCATGCAAAACATGCACCAGTGCAACCTATTCTGAAAAATTCACTTGAAACAAAAATTACAACCATACCTCTTACGACAAGCATAGGATGCTGGGGATGTATACTAACCCAGGTCAGGACAGGGGGGTATTCGTACCTGGTTTAGCGAGATGAGGCAGCAGTGGGTTCACTGTCTGCGAGACAATAACTTTGGATGGAGCTTGTATGGACATGGGGTTGGGGACATTCAGAGGCTTCTGTTGGCTGTGGGTGTTGACAGGCTTCGGAATCTCAATGGCCGTTGTGGACCTCGTCGTCGTCAACGTGATCTGGATATTTTGCGTGTTGCTGGTTGGGGGCTGGCCATGAATAGCAAAGCCTGATCTAGAACAGGAAAGGAGTTTGTCAGCAAATGGCATCGTTATCATATATTTACAAGTTGTCATCACGTATGATGTATGTCATAAGTACTCGGGTTTCTATGGTAACAATTACCGATGAGTTTCGGGTTGCTGTGAGGTCGAGATGTTGACAGCAGGAGAGGGGGACCGTGTGGAGGGGGGCGTCGCCTGTTTGATGGCTGAGAGTATGGGTGACCTCCCTAGGGAGGGCTGTATGGTGGGGATAACACCTGCTCCGTGGATAGCACTTGATGACACTGGGATCTGAACCGGAGGTCGCACCACAGCTGGGGCCGCGGTAGCGATGTTGCCAGATGTCTTTGACAAAGCCGCTGCGGCGATTGCTCCTGTAATATATGAAGAGTGAGGTGAGGCATAACATGGTAAAACTTCGAGCTCTAGATTATTGCACTTATATAGAGACCTGTATACAGGTGTTTATAACCCTGCATGGCTTCTTGTACTAGTCCGGACTAATATAGGTGATATAGTGCTTGCCCACTGAGATACCATGCCACAGTTTAACATGGATATCCTTCTCAAACAGAACATACTGACTCTGAGGAGACAAGTCCTTGTTGTATCCCCTTAATACTCGTGTGAGTTGGGTTTAACACTGCTTTTAACATGTTTAGCAGTATTCCAGTTATATCACGGCGTGTCAGCTTAATGTGGGAGGAAAGCCCGAAGTGATGCAGGTCTCACACGTTTACCACTTCGGTGAAACCCACAAGCACGGGTATGGTGCTGACAAACCTAGAAATATAATCGGGGCAAACCAGGATTCGAACCCACAATCATAGGTTTCTGGCGTGTCCAAGGGACGCAACTCTGCACAGCGAATCGCAGCGCCTTAGACGACTGGGCCAGCCATGCCCCTGAGAGATCATCAACTGTGAGTCCATTGAACACAAACAGGGAGTTGGTAGCAAGCAGTGCTGATGTACAAAGTGACAATGGGATTGTTCTAGAGCTGCATATAAAATTAAATGTTCTTGGGCATTTTTGTCTCAAAAGTGAGTAGTCCCCCCTTAATACTAAGAGACAGAGAGGATGGGAACAAGTACCATCTCTTAGCATCTTTTGGTATGACACAGCCGTAAATCGAACTGACCTCCCGCTCTCCAGACTCTCTAACCACAAGATACTGATCAAACGAATGTTAAAGTAAATTCAGTCTCCTTTCAGGCTGATAGTTCCAACATATTCAGGCTCACAGACAGAGTAAGGAGCAAAGGATACCTCTAGGTAAGTGTGAAGCGAACGGTGGTCGTGGAGGGACAGTTCTTGTAATGACGTTCAACGGGAGGGCATTGCCTAGAGCCTGAGTAGCGCCACCGGCTACTGAGGCACTGAGATGAACAAGATTGGACACTGCGGCAGATAGCTGGCCATGTGACCCCGCCGACAGCCCACTGGAAGGCGTCGTAGCGATGTGACCATGGACCCCATCAGTTGGAGTGCTCACCAAACCTGAAAATATACAAACTTTGGTATTAAGTGGTAAGTGTAGGATTGTGGATACAATTTCTAAGATTTTCTTGTTTGTTTGCTTTCCTGTTCCAGCTATTTCGAGATGACATGTACCTAAATGATCCTGACCAGATAAATAAATGGTTGATATCATGAACGACTTCCCACACGTTCAGGGTACACACCAAGTCACCAAGCTTAACCACTCATTCTGGTGGACAAGCAACATCAGCAATAGAGTGCTGAGGACCTATTCTAACCCTGGTCCCACAGTGTGACAAGCAATAGAGTGATGGGGACCTATTCTAACCCTGGTCCCACAGTATGACAAGCAACAGAGTGCTGAAGATCTATTCAAACCCTTGTTCGACAGTGTGACAAGTAATAGTGTGCTGGGGACCTATTCTAACCCTGGTCCCACAGTGTGACAAGCAATAGTGTGCTGGGGACCTATTCTAACCCAGGACCCACTGTGTGACAAGCAATAGAGTGATGGGGACCTATTCTAACCCTGGTCCCACAGTGTGACAAGCAACAGAGTGATGGGGACCTATTCTAACCCTGGTCCCACAGTGTGACAAGCAATAGAGTGCTGAGGACCTATTCTAACCCTGGTCCCACAGTGTGACAAGCAATAGAGTGATGGGGACCTATTCTAACCCTGGTCCCACAGTGTGACAAGCAATAGAGTTCTGGGGACCTATTCTAACCCTGGTCCCACAGTGTGACAAGCAATAGAGTGCTGAGGACCTATTCTAACCCTGGTCCCACAGTGTGACAAGCAATAGAGTGCTGAGGACCTATTCTAACCCTGGTCCCACAGTGTGACAAGCAATAGAGTGATGGGGACCTATTCTAACCCTGGTCCCACAGTGTGACAAGCAACAGAGTGATGGGGACCTATTCTAACCCTGGTCCCACAGTGTGACAAGCAATAGAGTGATGGGGACCTATTCTAACCCTGGTCCCACAGTGTGACAAGCAACAGAGTGATGGGGACCTATTCTAACCCTGGTCCCACAGTGTGACAAGCAATAGAGTGATGGGGACCTATTCTAACCCTGGTCCCACAGTGTGACAAGCAACAGAGTGATGGGGACCTATTCTAACCCTGGTCCCACAGTGTGACAAGCAATAGAGTGACGGGGACCTATTCTAACCCTGGTCCCACAGTGTGACAAGCAATAGAGTGATGGGGACCTATTCTAACCCTGGTCCCACAGTGTGACAAGCAACAGAGTGATGGGGACCTATTCTAACCCTGGTCCCACAGTGTGACAAGCAATAGAGTGCTGGGGACCTATTCTAACCCTGGTCCCACAGTGTGACAAGCAATAGAGTGATGGGGACCTATTCTAACCCTGGTCCCACAGTGTGACAAGCAATAGAGTGATGGGGACCTATTCTAACCCTGGTCCCACAGTGTGACAAGCAACAGAGTGATGGGGACCTATTCTAACCCTGGTCCCACAGTGTGACAAGCAATAGAGTGCTGGGGACCTATTCTAACCCTGGTCCCACAGTGTGACAAGCAATAGAGTGATGGGGACCTATTCTAACCCTGGTCCCACAGTGTGACAAGCAATAGAGTGCTGAGGACCTATTCTAACCCTGGTCCCACAGTGTGACAAGCAATAGAGTGCTGAGGACCTATTCTAACCCTGGTCCCACAGTGTGACAAGCAATAGAGTGATGGGGACCTATTCTAACCCTGGTCCCACAGTGTGACAAGCAGTAGAGTGATGGGGACCTATTCTAACCTGGTCCCACAGTGTGACAAGCAATAGAGTGCCGGGGACCTATTCTAACCCTGGTCCCACAGTGTGACAAGCAATAGAGTGCCGGGGACCTATTCTAACCCTGGTCCCACTGTGTGACAAGCAATAGAGTGCTGAGGACCTATTCTAACCCTGGTCCCACAGTGTGACAAGCAATAGAGTGCTGAGGACCTATTCTAACCCTGGTCCCACAGTGTGACAAGCAACAGAGTGATGGGGACCTATTCTAACCCTGGTCCCACAGTGTGACAAGCAATAGAGTGCTGAGGACCTATTCTAACCCTGGTCCCACAGTGTGACAAGCAATAGAGTGATGGGGACCTATTCTAACCCTGGTCCCACAGTGTGACAAGCAATAGAGTTCTGGGGACCTATTCTAACCCTGGTCCCACAGTGTGACAAGCAATAGAGTGATGGGGACCTATTCTAACCCTGGTCCCACAGTGTGACAAGCAGTAGAGTGATGGGGACCTATTCTAACCTGGTCCCACAGTGTGACAAGCAATAGAGTGCCGGGGACCTATTCTAACTCTGGTCCCACTGTGTGACAAGCAATAGAGTGCTGAGGACCTATTCTAACCCTGGTCCCACAGTGTGACAAGCAATAGAGTGCTGAGGACCTATTCTAACCCTGGTCCCACAGTGTGACAAGCAATAGAGTGATGGGGACCTATTCTAACCCTGGTCCCACTGTGTGACAAGCAATAGAGTGATGGGGACCTATTCTAACCCTGGTCCCACAGTGTGACAAGCAATAGAGTGATGGGGACCTATTCTTACCTGGGTCCCACAGTGTGACAAGCAATAGAGTGATGGGGACCTATTCTAACCCTGGTCCCACAGTGTGACAAGCAATAGAGTGATGGGGACCTATTCTAGCCCTGGTCCCACAGTGTGACAAGCAATAGAGTTCTGGGGACCTATTCTAACCCTGGTCCCACAGTGTGACAAGCAATAGAGTGATGGGGACCTATTCTAACCCTGGTCCCACAGTGTGACAAGCAATAGAGTGATGGGGACCTATTCTAACCAGTGTCCCACAGTGTGACAAGCAATAGAGTGATGGGGACCTATTCTAACCCTGGTCCCACAGTGTGACAAGCAATAGAGTTCTGGGGACCTATTCTAACCAGTGTCCCACAATGTGACACGCAATAGAGATTTTGGGACCTATTCTAACCCTGGTCCCACAGTGTGACAAGCAATAGAGTGCTGGGGACCTATTCCTAATGGTGATAATTTTGTAGAAGATGCAAAAAATATATCAAGAAGTCTAATAGTACATTTTAAGAGTAAAGTTGGTATAACACACAGATGGTCGTCAATACTTGCACATTTTTAGTCAAGAGGTTAAAATAAGTTAAAAATGTACAGGCAAAGTATGCAAAGATTAAAGGTTTACTTCCCAATACAAATATCAATCGCAGTCGCAAACTAAGTAAAAAATATTGATTCCCGCCTTAAATGTTCACTTTAATGTCTGTTACACCAAACACTAAGTACTAGTGAAAATTAGTAGTGAAAAAAAAGTAAATATTTTCATCCATTGAACCATACTTGACACTGCCAACAGTAAATCGTCAGTGTGCCAGGTATTTGACTATCCTGTCTATGAAAAAGATGACAAACGCACCCCAGATAAGAGCACATACAAGTATCGTGAAACGTATCTGATCGTGAGAAATGTATCGTGACAACTATTGGATCTCACAGTTGCTGTACTGTCCCAGCCCTATAGTTCCGGTGAGCTGAGAATTCATGGCCCTGTTCCACAAAGTTTTGTGAGTTGGTTTAGTGCCGTATACAGCAGTAATTCCAACTATATGACGGCGGCCTGTAAAAATGAAGTCTGGACCAGACAATCCAGTGACTGACATCATGAGCCTCGATCTACACAATTGGGATACGATGACATGCATCAACCAAGTCAGCAAGTCTGACTAGCCAATCACATTTGTGGCCTCTTACGACAAGCATGGGTTACTGAAGATCAATTCTTCACTGGTTCCAAAAAGTGATTTTGTGGAACGGGGCCCAGGTCTGTATAAATGATCAACATTGTTTACCTGTGGGTAACATTGCTGATAACGCCTGTTGGTGTGGATGACCAAGATTCACGGACTGGTTTATCTTCGGTCTAATTGTCTGCAAAAACAAATCAGTAGGTGTATAGGTTAATGAAAATAATAGGTCGATGTGCCTGTTTTCCACATTACTACAAACAATTTTTGTCGTATTTTAGTAGTGAGTGAGTGAGTATGGCTTTACGCCGCTTTTAGCAATATTCCAGCAATATCACGGCAGGGGACACCAGAAATGGGCTTCACACATTGTACCCATGTCGGGAATCGAACCCGGGTCTTCAGCGTGATGAGTGAAAGCTTTAACCACTAGGCTACCCGACCGCCCTCTTATTTTAGTAAGGTAAAATGATTGATCAACATGATTATTACCACAAGAGCATGTCTAATATTATTTCAGCGTTTTATTATTTACAGATTTAATTACCAGGATTTTACTTGATGCACAATATTGTGTCCTATATGCATACAAAGTGAGACTGAAAGAAAATAATTTCAACTGACACAAATAAATTTATGGCCTTTTGAATCATTAACCTGATCAATATTTTTTCAGACTTTCATCATAATCTTACTTCTGAGTATTTGCAATAAAAACATTCTTGCAAATCAAGTGAAGCGTGCCACAGGTCGCCATCCTGGGACCCCCATATTCAAGCTTTGGCCCCCAAAAATATATTACTCAAGAGTCCACTGGACTCAAAAACAGAAAGACCCAAGTAAATCCCTGATTGAAAAAATGAACAAAACAAAAGAAGACATTAAAAATAATATAATAGGGGAAATACGTTTTAACATTTATGGACAATAAGTGTTAATTGTTTCAAGGAAATGAATCAATCATTGACTATGGTTAACTAAACACCGACTTCAACCATACAAGCTTCGTTCTTGAATAGGAACATTGAAAAAAAGATATTTTCACAATAACATCCTGAATGATAAGCACTGCTTCTTCAATTTTCATCAACAGATACCGTATTCGATGTAATAAAACATCCTGTATTTCTTTCAAATTGATTGTTTAATACTAATCAAATGATCATAAATGATATTTTAATGTTACCTGTAACTTGATGTCCATGATGGGTTGCTGGGTTTGGATGTGGGAGGGTGTACCACTTAAAGTGGGCGTGGCAGCTGGAGGGAGACTGTCAGGTTTGTCCTCTCCTCGCCTTTCACCCCCACCGCCTGGGAAATTAGCACTACTCATCACCTGAAATGGGAAGTTCAAATATTTATTGCATACCAGTGGTTTGATATTTTCACATTAATGAGCCCAGAGTATGAAACATGACCCATTGGATACTCTCATTAGTTGTTGTTGTTTTGTTGTTAAACGCCGCACTCAGCAATATTCCAGCTATATGACGGCAGTCTGTAAATAATTGAGTCTGGACCAGACAATCCTGGGATTAATATCGTCCACGCAATTGGGACTCGATGACATGAATCAACCAAGTCAGCAAGTCTGACCACCCAATCCCATTAGTCACCTCTTACAACAAGCATAGTCGCCTCTTACGGCAAGCATGGGTTGCTGAAGACCTATTCTACCCCGGATCTTCATGGGTCAATACACTCATTGATACACTCATTAAATGGTTATCAACAGCCAAAAATATCATTGTCAGTGTTTGCATTGGTCTCCAAAATTATGGGGTCCTAAGGGTTAGCCTAAGCGGTGAAGGGACGAAGCTATCTCTGGGGGTTTGGGCGCATGCCGACACCCATGTAATTTTGTTAAATGTAGACCTGACTAGGTATATTTTAACATGTTTAAGCAATTCTGAGCACAAATAAAGTGTCTCGTTGAAATTTTTTAAGTGTCTGTTTTTATGTATGTATTACAAGGATTTTGGGAGGCGAGATAAACTCGAAACAAAACAACAAGTTATGCGTAAAGTAAACTTTTTTTCAAAATGAAAAACGCATAAGGGGACGCGTGTAGGTTGTTTTTATGCAGCCCAGTTTTTATCAGTGCGTATTTTTTTTATATGGGACGTCGTAAACGCATCACTGATTGTTATTGGACATTTATATTATATAATATAATATATATAATATATAATGATCAGCCATTGATGATGTTGATACATTTCAATGAGCTAAACATTTCTAATATGATAATGTTCTTATTCTATGTCTTTCAGTGGAAAATGTCTTTTTTTTAACTGCCAAGACAACATCTAGTCCCATAGTGTTACTACACAAAATACCAGAGTTTCAACGTCCTTGGCAATGTAGTTTCTAAAGAGACTTTTCAAAGTCTTAACTTTTTCTCTTCACAAAATAGATTTAACAGAGATTTTACAGGGATGAACACATCTGAGTAATAACAACCAAATGTGATGCTCTACTCAAAACATGCCAAGTTTAACCATTCTTTGACATTGTGGTTTCTGAGAACAAGTTCTTAAAGCCTTATTGTGAGATATTCGTTCAGTTTTAAAAGAAAGCTTCAGATAAGTTGCATATTTGCCTACAATATGCACAAAACATCTCCATCACCCAATCAACTTGGAGTTGTTTGTGTACAAATATACAATTGCATACAATACTCTGCATAATTACCCAATATATCCTTTTTCAAATTACATACATAAATATCTTCACAGATACTTATTTACTGACTGAATGCAGGCATTACTCTAGGGTTTCTATTTTAATTGGGTTATTACATTTTTCATTGGGCATGTTGGTAGCCAGGTAACCAATATTTTTTCACTAATCTATTCATCACTCTATAGGGTGTTTCCCCAAAAGAGAGAACATTTTCAGATTTAAAATAAAATATTTTAGATGTATATAACCCATGATAACTGTTCTAAATATTTAGGTTTGACACGGAAAGTAAATTGGCTCGGAATTGTGTTTGGGAAATTAGCTCCTTTGTACCCATGCTGAAATAGCTTCATTGGGTGCTGTTTTTAAACACTTGAGTTTTTCATTTAATGCATGCGTTTCATTACGCAAGTTAATTGAAAGTAATTGGGTTTTGAATATTTGAGGGGGGCTATTTTACACAAATACGCTCTGTGTCTTGCTTATTGTTACTTAGACATGTATATCACTGTTGTGAGCAGTAGAGGACGTAACGTGTACGCGAGACGGCTCTCCCGTCTAGCGTACAAGTGACCACCTTAGAGGTGTCACTCGTATGCGTGACGGCCTGTCAGTGGACCATGGATTTCTGCATGTTGCACAAAAATGTCTCTACAAGTGTTATTTGTGAAAATAATAAAACAAAATTAAGTACAGTTATTGATCATTATACTAGTTATCGAATGAAATGAAAAAAATGTCATAAGAAAAATAATAAACGGTCAAATTGGGAGAAAAATGTGCAAAAATCGAGCAAAATGTTCTGTTTTTGACAGCGATTTTCTCCTATGTACATATTTTTCAGAAACTAACATGTAGTATTTTCTTAAAGCTTATTCATCGTAGAGTTACAAAATGTATGAATTATTTCACGCACACCAATGCACACCCATTTTCCATCGCGTTGAAACATGTTTACTTTCTTCGAAACTGCACGAACCGTCTCGCGTACAAGTGACTGGTTGACAAGCAGATAAAGGGAGGTAACCGATGCCTGACTAAAATGTTCAATCGGAACATCCGTCTTGTTACACTAAATGTGTCTGAATCAGAATGGTGCGTATAATATGCACAATATTTATTTAGCGCGTAGTTTCATGGTTGGAACAAGGAGGAAATGTATTTTGATCACGAATAAGGAAAACAATTTTGCAGTGGGTAATATATTATTAGGTGGAAGTAAAATTGTTGGAAAACACGGCAAAGACTTGGTGAGTGACTGAAATTTAATGTCACATCGGCAATATTTCAGCCTTATTGTGACGAAATGTCACTGTTGTGTGTTTAAGCGACATGTAACACACTTAATAGGACAACTCATGAACAAGCAGTGTCGGAAATAACTGCCTGCCTGCCTGCCTCCCCCTGCAGCAGTAGAAACTAGGATGTTTAGTCCACTCATCCCTATAATGATAACATATAGCAAACCCTTCAAAATGGCAACTTTCAACCAGTCCTTATCATACCTTAACCATGTTAACTACTGGGCAGATTTATAATGTCTGACTACGGGCGGATAACTTTGAAGATGGGCAGGCAACATTTGTGGTTACCTTCCCGACTGTCTTGTTGGGTGTAAAAATTATTTCAAACACTGTGAACAAGTACAATATAGAAGTCATTTTGAACAGCATTTTTCAAGCAGAATATTTTAATAATATATATTGGTCTAAACATACCCAACAGACTGGACCTAAAGGAGTAAAAATATATTGAATACCCACTGAAAAATCATCAATCCCAATGTGAAAGATAACTTGACATTAAGTCAATACATAACAAATTATCTTGCGCCCTGAAGCAATTTGGACTTTAAAAGTATGAGCGAGACAGTGGGTCGGTCAGGTTGCTGTTTTTAACAGTATTCCAATTATCATAATTATGTCACAGCATGTCAGCTTGACATGGGAGGAAAGCCAGAAGTGATGCAGGTCTTATGACATTTATCACATGAAACCCATGAGCACAGGTATGGTGCTGACAAAACTAGAAACATAATCAGGCTAATCAGGATTTGAATCCACTATCACTGGTTTCTGGCGTGCCAAAGGGAAGCAACTCTACAAACGAATTGCAGTGCCCTAATAGTTGTAACTGGTATACCGGTATACTGCAATACGGTTGCTTCCAATACATGTACCACAATACAACCCTTTCCGATAGTCACAAAATAACTAATACATGATTATAAAAGAATTAATACATGATTATAAAAATGATATCCATGATTTTGAGGCATTTGGATGAATATCTAAACCATGTAAACAGCACATGCTTCCTGCTGTTTAAAATTACCATTCCATATTGATGATGTAATAGGTAGTCTTGTTTATCCATACTACCCATCTATAGTCTGGATTATTGAATAAAGAAGAACCATTTTAACAGTACAAATATATATAATTTGGGACCAAATACGTATTGCAGTATTGCCATACATTGCAATACAATTTATGTGCTAATATGCCAACCACACTCTACTGTCATTGAAGATAAAACACGCGTCCTCATCATGCTCATAGACTGTGATTACTACGCGGGTCTTAGATTGAATTTTTTTTAAATTGCAGCAAATATCAATAATAAATGTGATTTTTCAAGTGTACCTAGTTTACATAAAATTGTTATACTTTTAACATGTTTAAACACTGATATTATACAGGCACTTCTGGCAGCAATTCTTAGCAGAATGCCGAGACGTTTTAATTGTATACAAATATTGTCTTTTACAGGTGCTTCTTTAGCAAATTGAAATGCTATAGGGCAGGTATATTAATACATATGTTGTGATGTTGACGAACATTTTAATGAATATATGATGTTTTAAGAGTCTTTTGCATACTACTCTGTATAGCCTTCATACTGTATGCACATTTGTGTGCTATAACAGTCAAGTACTGATAATCTGACATGGTTGGCTGCATATGAGTATGTCGGATTCATGAGTATGTCAGATAAACAAAATGAAGTTGTTTCAACGTTTGAAAAATCGGACAACTACACCATGTACACAATAGATAATGATACAAACATGTTGAAATAAAAAAATAAAAAATGAAATACTGTAAATCTTGAAATTAAGGTGAGTGTGAATTAAATGCAAAAAATGTGAGTGGTCTTTGCATTAACATGATTAATAAACATCGCATTTATATCACCAAAATGACTATTAACAATAAGAGGGCCTCACTGCACACTTTGGATAGCGGAAATACCAACTTGAATATAATCACAAAAACGGTTTATTGGGCAGCATTTGTAACAAGTATATAACAATGTCATTTAAAGAATAGGAATTACACAATGGGCATCTGTTGAGTTATCACTGCTGGGGTCAAGAGTTCTACCCACTCGTGTCAAGCTTGTTGACACCTTCTCTCCATACCCATCAGTTAACTGTTGTTGGTTCCAATTATTTTATTGCCTTTGAACTACCTTAATGCCAGTCAACAGAGTAAACATATAAACTGTGTGTTGTTTTTAGGAAAACACTGTTTATTGTTTTTACGGCAGGGCTCTACTCAGAGCTAAAATGTGGTCGCATTTTTGGCAAGGACTCCGCAGTCATATTAATTTGGAGACGCATTAATTTCCAGTATTCATATCGTTATGTTACCATATTAGTAGAAAATGTTTTCTAATCATGCAACCTCTAAAGCTCAACACAAAACTACTGTTGACTGATTCAAAATATTTTTGTAAGCATAGACTGGAATGGTAGTCACCAGTTTGAAACTAGTGACGCAAAGCTCAAGAAAAGCAGCTTTCTCAGTGGCTAATGACGACTTCCTGTTAGTCATTTCATTGGTTGGTCAAAGTTCGTGAAAGGTGGTTTTGACATGACCTGTAATGGGATGTCCTCAGCGGTAGCATTAATTGCTTATTGTTAAGAAAGCTTATCTCTGCAGCTGTTGTAATTTGTAACTACTAGCGTCTCGTCTCATCTCGCATAAAAACATGGGCTGTGTACTCGCAGGCAGAAGACCACAGCATACGCTGATCACTCTTGGATTAACGAGACTGATTAATGAGTGATTTCAGTAATTCATTGCAAATTAGGTGAGTCGGAGTGGGAGTTTGGGACTGTCGAAATACCAGGTCTAAATAGCACTGATTTAATAGGTTCCGATCATTAGTGTTGGATAAAGCCGATTGTTAGATTACGAGTTTCGGAATAAAAAGACTTGACTGTATATCATATTATCAGTATGCATATAACTACTTGTACATAATATACATGTGCGTGACACTTCACTGACCATGATGAATATATTTACTCTCACTCTATTCTCAACTCTCTCATTCTATGAGGGCTTCCTTCGATATTGATATTTGACAAGTCAAGTGAAGGAGTTGGGTACAACGCTGCTTTTAACCGTATTCCAGTTATATCACAGGCTGTCAGCTTAATGTGGGAGGAAAGCTAGAAGTGATTCAGGTCTTAGACCTTAAACACTTCGGTGAAACCCACGAGCAGGGGTATGGTGCTGACAAACCTAGAAACATAATCAGGGCAAAACGGAATTCTAACCCATAATCATAGGTTTCTGGCGTGTCAACTGGTCAACTCGAGTGACAATGGTCACATACTTCAATTTCATAATTTTGAGCTGTTTCATGGACTATTACCGTATTCGACGTAATAAGCGACCAGGGCGCTCTCAAATTTAGAAATAGGGGGCTCTTATCAGAACATTATTTTGGTGAAAAACAACAGAGATGAAAGATCGTTAATTTCGTGGTTTATGCTGACAGCCTGAAATGTTTATATACAACAGATATATTTTTCCAGAATTTAATTTCCCATAATTAAGAATACATATAACACACGTATTAAACATAAGTATATAAGTCTTGTGTACATTGATCAATCGAAAGGGGTGCTAATAGCAATTGTTCACTAGCCAATATATTAACAAATATCGCCGTGGGCGCTTATTACGTCAAATACGGTATTGCATAACTAATGAACTGAAAGTTGGACATCAGGCCTCAAACTTTTTACCAAGTAGCCATATGGCTAAAAGTAGTTTTTTCCTGGTAGCCAGTGGTAAAATCAAGAAGTCAAGCCAAAATTGTAGGTAGCCAAAAGCATTTGAAATCATCTTTTATCAAATAACTATTACATGTACAAGTCATAGCACTAGTCTTGAAATTGTATATTAGTGGAAACTGTACTTGACTTTTGTTATTTGTGAACCGAACAATGATGCAATTTAAGTTACTAGATTATATAAATATATCTTTGCTTATCCAATAAACTATCAACTAAAATAAAATACTAGTTGCATAAATATTTATGTATTTCGGGTCATTGTTGACTTTAGGTGGAATTATTTGCGAGTAAAATTAGTAGCAGACATGTTTATTTTTTTGTCTACATATGTGTAGCAATAGAAGTTAGTAGCCACAAGATATTTTTCAAGGTAGTCATTATGCTACCTCTGAATTTTAGACACTTAGAAATTTAGGTTGCAATGGCGACCATTTTAGTTGTAACTTTGAGGCCTGGACATGTAACCATGGTTACATGCACTAACAAACACATTTCAACCTAGCGAAAATCATGTCAGGCATAAAACGTGCCTCCTATACAAATATATGCTAGTGGTATCAGGACCCACTGACTTCAGAAGCTGCAAGCCCTGTCTAAACTCTCATTTATAAAAAAATCAGCTTTCTGTGACAAATAAATTGACACATAAATTTACTGCTGGCCAGAAGGACCAATACAACATGAACAAATCTGAAACTACAGACCTGTCACGAGATTTACCTGCCATGGGCTTATGGGCAGGTGCTTATTTCGAACACTGCTCCTATTAACAAGCCTCATAGTATTTGTTTGTTTGTTGTTTAACGCCGCACTCAGCAATATTCCAGTTATATGACGGTGGTCTGTAAACTAATCGATTCTGGACCAGACAATCCAGTGATTGACATCATGAGCATCGACCCACGCAATTGGGATCGATGGCATGTATCAACTAAGTCAGCGAATCTGACCACCCGATCCCGTTAGTTGCCCTTTACGACAAGCATAGTCGCCTTTTACGGCAAGCATGGGTTACTGAAGACCTATTCTACCCCGGAATCTTCACGGGTCAGCCTCATAGAAAAACCAGAACTTTGGAAAAATGAATCAAAATTAACATGGCAAAGTGAACATATACAGTTATCACATACACAGACTAGTGTCCAACATTCTCGGTTGCTTCAGACCTACATCAGACCAAGACAACTGTAAATGAGACAATGCTAGAGGGAGGACAAGTTTTTCTCTCCAAAGATCTAGTTATTTGATGTGAACTAGTTGGAAGTAATCAATGGTGTCTACCCTGTTTCATATATCCCATGAATTTCAAGTCTATTTTAACTCTTAAACAATGGTGTTTGATCGGAGTATAACTGTCATGTCAACATGCATTGAAAGACATCACACTACTGGACACTCGTCAATTCATGCTAATAACGTGTGTGGGGTGTTCTCAGCACTAGCCCAATAATGACAAGGTACAGGCAAACTAATAGACATTGGAAATTTTACACAAAAATTGAAACCATGTAAACATGGAACCTATTGCTTCAAGAAAGTGCCTTACATTTTTTCTGACACTGGTCAAAAATGCATGATGAGTGTGAAATAGTTTAATAAAAAATTTTTACAAATATTTAAACTAAACATACACTTTTCTCCAGTAGCTTGGAAATTTAAATTCGGATATAAAGGCTGCAAAAATCAGTAATGTTTAGACAATAAAGAATCCATGACATATACCATGACAAGACCCCCAAAACACCGGGTTGTTTACGTTTGTTTACTTTAATACTAGGGTCAGTAAAATTCCTATCTTTTGGCTGCTTGTCCTGAAAGTTGTGCCTTAACGTTATTCAGTAAATGGATTTAGAGAACTACTGGGTAATCATTATCCACGTTACATTGTGACAGCCTGTTTATGCTAGATGTGCCCACAACCACTGTTTAAGTCTGGAAGATTGGGGACGGTAGGGTCATTGAGGATACCTCTCATACTTCATACTGAATCTAGCAAATGGATCAAAGATTCAACGAAACGGTTATGTTCGTAGAGAAACGATATTCACAATACGTTATATATGAATGTGTCACGTCAAATACCCTCTCAGGTTTTATTTTGGCAACGTGCCAAGATCTCACCCACGGAGATGGACATACGATATTTTGTAATATGATACATGGGTTAATGGTCACGTTTGAAGTCCTTAATTACATTTCTAGTAACCGCAGTTTAAACGATTTAAAAACGGGTAGTTCTGAAAAAACGGCCAAAACAACATTCTACACGAAACGACAACACAAGGGGACGTCTGACGGTTGGGCAAATTATTCCATCAACCCGGGCCTGTAACAATCACAAAATGTTGTCATCTGGCAAGTTGTTGTTCTTACCTTCCTTCTTGACCATAAGCACTCGACGGGAATAAAAATAAGGGCACGATAACGACCAAATGTACGTATACGTTCTTGTCAGTTTGATATTTCGCTCGTAAACCAAGCATGGCAGCTGAGCGTATACAAGTTGTAAACGTATCAGTGATTGGTTAGAGAAAGTCACATGACAGGTGCGCGCTTCCGCCGTTCTTCTTCCGTATAAAACAAACATGCTATTTCACCTCGACTCTCATTTATTTTAATTGCACAACTTTATTTGTGACTAGTTAATGTGCTCGCTGTTATGTATTCTTGATTTCTTCGCCTTTTAAGCTATTTCATTCGTGTATCCGTTAGAACTGTATGACCTCGCGTGTACACATTTAAATACTGTGTGCTAGGTTACTTCCGATTACTTGAATGGTATTTTGCGTTGAACTATTTACAACGTAAATATGAAATCTGTGTAACATCTTATGCCCTAATCTCAAGTGTCGTGGTCAGTAGACTCTATATTGTAATGCCCCACCTGAATATGAAATCGAATCAACCTGAAAACACACAGGCTGGTGAAATACACGGATCATGGCGTATGAATTTGGACCGAAGCGTCGTCCGCTACAAATTTCCTACTGCGCATGTGTGACATAAATGTTAAAAATTAAGAGTTATGTTCCTTGAAAGGTTGTTTCACGATGCGATACGAATGATGAATAGAGCTCATATATTTATACATGTATATCACGGACTTTGAAATTCGTTATTTATTTAAGATAATTTCATCCTATTTTTTTATTATCCACATGCCGTAATAGATTGATAACTGAAGTGATTCCTCCACAAACGTTATTTTTATTTCTTTGAGAGGCATTTAGAAGTTGGAGTACTATGTAAGGATAAGATATATGGATGTCATACGGTATTAAAGAAATTGTTATCCATTAAATTGTGTCTACCTTGTCATCCGTCAACTTCTATCAAACCTATCAAACAATTTGTAATAAAGAAGTTGTTCATCCAATGACATCCATATATCTTAGCCATACTTATTATTTTTATTTTTATTTTTCAAAGTTATTGCAGAATGCCAGGTAGGGAGTCAAAAGTTCTCCCTGGTTATTGGAAACCGTGCAAATTGATTCCACCGGAAGCGTTCGTTAAATCGTCGTCATATATATACATAATCATCATCATCATCATCAAGGAAACAGAGACCATACAACAGTGTACCGATATAACCCGTGGTGTATGTTGGAAACATAGGAACTGGATTATAGCGTGTGTAGCGTCCATAAAATTTCCGAGTCCCGTTATGGGATTCGAACCACGGACCTTCTGATCAGAGGTCGGACGCCTTGTCCACATGACCAAAGACGTTAACCCCGTCAGCAAGCTGACAAGGTAAGGATGTCATCTGTGGGATGACTCCACGCCCTGCTACACGTGCATAATATATTCGTTTAGAAAAACACATCACACCCATCTGTACATATATATAGAGGGGTGGGGTTTTTTTTCTATACTAATATATTATGCCATACACGCAAGTTCCTGTGGTTGGAAATGAGCATTACACTACGTAAGCGCTCTGATTCTTGAATATTGATTTGCCATGTTTTGCCAATATCATCCATGCTAAATGATATAATATTTAATGAAACGAGTCGAGTTAGAATATATAGCCTAAAATGTTGTTAAATAAAGTATTTTATGGTCACTGTTAAACAGACAACCCATAACGTCTGATGTGAGACATAGATGGATAGAATTACAATGCAGTGTAAAACTTTCTAAAGCATGGTTCTTGTTAAAGAATAGGTCGAAAATAACACAGGTGTAGACTGCAGGGAATTCATTTACGGAATGTATTGATAAATTAATATTTTGTAATACATGACGGCCTTCAAATAAAAAATAAAGTTATTGATGAGGCATAAAATCCTTCAATTTTGTTTCCAGGAGACCACTGCACCGGCGATGAGTGTGCTCTACCAATACAACTGGTGCAGTTACCTCCCTTAGAACATCCATTGTAGTGACAGCTTGCGATGTTGTTTTACGTAACAGTCAGCAGTGTTCCAACTAATGGTGGCTGTAGTGGTGGTTGCAAATAGTCCTATGCACAGCGCACAGGTCACATATCAGGTGAAGTTAAGCAACTTCGGTCGCGGAGAGTCCTTGGTTGGGTGACCGCGTTTCAGGGTCTGCCCGGAAAGCGGAAGGTCGGTGGATTGATCCTGGTTTCCGCCATGTGGTACCAACGACGTTAAAAGCAGGTACTTGTTGTTACCCTGTCTCCCGTGAGGGGATACAACAAGGAATAGACAGTCAGTATAGTGTGTCAGAGGTAATATACATGTTAAAACAGCGGCATCCAGTGGCTAGCATTATAAAACCTATTTTAGTTACGGACAAGTACAAGCAAGCACACGAACGCAGGCGCGCGCGCGCGCACACACACACACACACACACACACACACACAGTGCATAAATATCTAGGCTGGAAATAAGTTGGTTGGTTGGTTGTTTAACGCCGCACTCGGCAATATTCCACTATATGACGGCGGTCTGTAAATAATCGAGCCTGGACCAGACAATCCATTGATTGATATCATGAGGATCAATCCATGCAATTGGGATCGATGACATGCATCAACCAAATCAGTGAGTCTGACCACCCTATCCCGTTAGTCGCCTTTTACGACAAGCATAGCCTTTTACGATTATCCAGCGTATTATTACAATGGAGATATAATACTCTGGATAATCGAGGATGAGAGGGATTTGGCCCGTGTAAAATGGCAGTCGAGGCAATTTTAAGTCAGTTATTTTAAACATTGTATTGTGTTATTGTATATCAGTATCAAATAAGCACTGGGATATTTAACCCACTTTCAAAGCGTGACGCCCATTATCCAGATTATCATATTTATAATAGAATCAAATAAGCCAAAATACGCTGGATAATCGAAGATGCTTACACATACATTGTCGCTCTTTCACACAATCCACTAATGCATCACCTCTAGTCCAGAAAGGGTAACCCACTAAGAGCCTTTATGCTCAACAATTGCAAATAATTGTGTCGCTTTTTTTTTCACAAATTAAATGGAATCCTCGAGGTATTGATTGTGTTCTGTGGCAATTTTGTTCAGGTCATTCAAGCAGCCCACTACTCGTCTGTGTGTTCGCGTCTTAAAATGTTGATCAATCTAGTAATGGCCGATTACCCATTACACAATACTTCAGGTTCCCACAAAATAATAACGACTGTTTCATATTACCCATAAGCACACGGATGTTATATTCAGCAATTTTACATTTTTTGCTTGGCAGGTTCGGTCTTATTCTCCATTGTTGTTTTGCAAAAAACTAACAGCAACGTGACGTTTTATTATGTATTTCAGTGTCAAAGGGGGCGGTCGGGTAGCCTAGTGGTTAAAGCGTTCGTTCGTTACGCCGAAGACCCGGGTTCAATTCCCGACATGGGTACAGTGTGTGAAGCCCACTTCTGGTGTCCCCCGTCGTGATATTGCTGGAATATTGCTCGAAGTGGCGTAAAACCATACTCACTCAGTTTCAAAGAATAACTTTTCTGAAGTTGAGAAATTTGATCTTTTCTTTGCAGTGAACATAACACTTGATATTTCACTGCAACGTACATAACTTTTTGACGGAACTATTGTCATACAAGAGTTGCCTCCCCACAAATTGTCTCCCTTTATCGTAACTGTCTGTCCCGTAGACAGACCTCTGACTTTCCTTTTACGCTGATTCCACCCTGACAAGGCAAAATAATGATAGATGGTCATTTATGGAGTTAATTTCGCTTCTAGCCGTTTGTTATTCTCTTGAGATAATGTTTCGTTATAAACTGTAAATTTTTCATTTGACTCGTCAATCGCGACTCTTCGTTTCGCAAAGCGCCATTTTTGTCTCGTAGCTGTCAAGAATATTTTTGTCGTTGAATTTTATTCTGTATATAATCATAAATGTATGATCAAGAATTTTAGTGACCTTATTTATTTTAATAACCTTTGTTTACCCTTTAAGTCGCAATTAAAAGGGGCGGTGAAACGTCCCTGCTTGTTAGGTAGGGAGAATTTACGTTTCAAGGTTTTACATTTGTAAGGGAGAAAATTATTTTTCCGGTAGACAACTACATGTACACATACAGTATATAAATAGGATATTCCACGTGTCTTCAATCTCGTGACCGGGGAAAGGAGATATTTTCTCTTAAATACACAGGATGAGAAACGCGATATTTCACTCGACACATGAAATATCCTTTATATATGGAGGCATTGTCGCAAATAATAAAGAATTGGCTTTCACATTGTGTGAGTTCATTGGAGTATATATTTTTAATGTGACGTATACACGATATGCGGCTTTTCCATTGGCAGAGAGGTCGGTCACATGACCGCGAAACTGAAGTTCATATTAAGTGTATATTGACAGTAATGGGTGACCCCGCCTAGATGAACACGACCAAGCTAACTGTCGTTCATCCCCGATGCACGTCAATATGTCGCGTGATTACGTTGTCAATCGACCGGAGACATACGGAACTACTTTAGGGTAATTCCTCAATGTCTAAAAATAACGTCAAAAAGGGACGGTATCATCATGTGAATTAAGGATGCAGTCACGTGAGCATATTTAATTTGCTCACGTGCGGCACTGTCTTCATCAGCTGATGAACGCCAACAAATACAACTTCAATTTAACATTTGAAACCTCACGCTGCGCGTTCGGTTCCAAATTCAATGTAGCGGTGTTAAATCTACAGATAACCTAGCTCGACATTGAAAACACAGTATGTTTATCTCCTAATTCTACCATGAGTTTGGAAATTACTCAATTCTGATTGGTCAATCAGAGGTTGTTAATCACAATAAACCCCCCTCTGATTGAAACAGCTGATTTGTCGGTAGGCGTATTGAAATAATTATATGTAAATTATAGGTTACAAAATGCAAAGTTGCGGTTACTACAATAATCAAAGGATGTGTGGTAATACATTTCGTGCAGAAAACACGATAGAAATCTACAAGGAGAATGTATAATTTAAGTTTTGGGGACAACAGAGAGCTTGGAATTTGGCGCTTTTCCTCTATACGTGTTGACGGCAGTGACGTCATATCTT